ATGGAAGATTTTATTTTATTCATCCCAGTAAAAATGTCAATGTCGCAACAGGTTATGGAATAGGTAAAATTAAAACTGAATAAAGATGTGGTTCAACTTAGTTCCAGTAAAAGGAATGCCACTCAGTGCTGTACAGAGTTTACTGCTTGTGTTTATTGTCCCGAGTTGTAGTTAAACACAGACGTCAAATATTACAAGAATGTCATTTAAATAACCAATAAACTAAGCTACATTATATTTCACAGTAAAATAAGACATGGTCAGCACGATGGTCTTTTAATGGAAAACATGTAAAATTGTCATTACACAGTAATACAGTACTGTGTAATGACAATTTTACACTACATAGAACATCACCATTACAAAGAACCCCTTAGAGGTCAGGCATAATTTACATTCCATCCCAGGACATGAATGCAAACAGGTTTGTTTTTTTCTTCAGCCAACAATTAGCCTCTGTTCTGTGTTGACTAAAAAAGGGGAGGCTGAAAGTTGACCCTGAAAGCGGTGGTCCCAAACCATTTTTGTACCAAGGACCCATCGCCCAGTACTGTCGACGAGTACCACAACGCCAATCATTGAAGGGTCATTAAGAATCAGTAGTTTTTCAAAATAAAAATTATTTTGGACTTTAGACTTTATTTTGTTGGTGCGAGTATCAAAGACTATATTATTTTGGAAAATGGTCAGATATTCTTTAAACTAAGTGTCAAAAATATATGGTATTAATAGAAGCATATATTTCTTTTTAGCTCCAATATTAGACTTTGTATAGTAGTATCCGTACTACTATATAAGATACTACTATAACAAAGGATAATATAATGTATATTGTACTTCCATACTGGTCATGATATATATGTATATATATGTATATGTATATATATACATATATATAACCTGCTACTAGCTAAGCTATTGATTAAAAACCCTTCTACAGTGTAGATTTGCTTCGCCTGTGTTTCATCCATTCCTAAATGTCCTAGATGAACAAACTAGAGGTTTTGGTGTTGATTACTTCTTATTATTAAGTTTACTAACATCTATGATGCTGGCATTCAAGATTCAATATATAATATATAATTTTATATAATATTTTGAATCTTGAATCCCAGCATATGATATATAATACCAGTACAATATAATAATAATAATAATAATAATAATAATAATAATAATAATAATATAATACAATACAATAATAACAATAATATCATAATAGTAGTATAATTATATATACCAGGACACTGCTGACACGTCTGTAAATTCTACAACCTTTCTCTTGGCCCACTCTTGGACGTCACATGCAGTCTGTGTTAGCTCGGGAAAGTCAGCACTAAAAAAGTGGAAGCACTATGTTTTTTTTAAGTGGGTGTTCAGTTTCATATCACCATTATTTCTAAGGAAGTGAATCACAACTGTCACATGCACATTTAGCATTTAAAGCTATTACTAAGGCTGTGGTATGGACTCCTCATAGAAGACCCATGAAGGTAAGAAACAAGTCTGAAACATGTTTAATACTAAGAATTTATCTCTCTGTCCTTCCGATATTTTTCAACAATATTTATCTAAACAGGGAGGACAACCTATAATACAGGAATACAATACGACTGAAGCATAAAAATCTATTGTTCTTTACAGGAAATTTGCTAATTAAGGAGCAATGAAATAAGCATATGTAATTTTCATCTTTTAAAGCTATGTTATTTGAACATTTTAATACTAATGTGCCAATGTTTTTGCTTGCAATGTTAAATATGTCTGTCACAGACAATCTCAGGGTTAATTCAAAGTCTGCTCATGTGTGTGTTTATATGACAGGTGTCTTTTTTGCTTGAGCTGTTGTTACAGCTGTCTTCCTCCTGAGGTTGACTTCAGGTGCTCCTGATATAACATCTATCAGAGAGCACAGATTATTTAACCTGACAGAATTACCCCTGCAGCTCGGTGCCTGCAGTAAAGCTCAAGCTCACCTTTAACTTGCCTTCCTGTGCTGTTCCTTCTCTGGAAGCCCACATGCTAGAAGCCCTCATGACTCTACCGTGACATTTCCATTAAGCATGTGATCATGTAAGAGGTGTTATTTGGGTTTAGTGACCTCTGGGTCCACAGTGAGACAAAGCAGAGTTATGATTCAACCACACTTGTTTTTGAACTGAAGTAACCTCTTTGTCTCATCATCAAAAGATGAGGCTCCTCTGTCGTCTGACACGCAATCAGTTCCTCTCTCTCTGACGTCTGTGATTTCACTTTCCTCTCAGACTCATTTGACACAGTGGGGGGAGTTTGTAAATGTGCCACAAAAGGCCTAATTAACAGTACGGTGATTGAACGTCATTGATTATAAAGATGGAGGCAGCTTTCTCTAAACTTGTGATGAACCGTTTCTCTTTATTCTCTAATGTCACTAAAGGATGTGTGTGTTTACTTCACTGCTGTATTTTTTCATGTTAAAGATGGCAGTTTCCGGTCTCTTTCAAATTAGCAAAAACCAAGTTGTGTAAGAGTGTGTTTCTGTCAGCCTTGTTTCTCCCCATTTAAACATGCTGGACCCAGGGGCAGTTAATGCTTTAATTTAATTCTGGTCTGAGTCCTGGACGCATTTATTATTTGGTGTGAAGAATCATTAAGGATCAGTACATTTTTACACTGAGTTGGTATCAGAGTCAGAAAGACTATTTTGAAAAATTACTGGATCATCTTTAAATGGACAAAGTAAATGAAAATGACCTGATTCTCTTTAAATAAATAAAATAACTTTTTTTCACAGCAACCCACTGACGCCAGTACCTAATGTCATATGCTTTATTTTGACCATTTTTATTATCTGTTATTTCTGTTATTTATGGTAGCTACATTAATCTTGTAGCTTACGTTACACAAAATGGTAGGATGTTACCTTGACAAGTATGTTGTAGTTCGTAAAGCAAAATTAAACTGCCAGTTGTATTTACCAAAAATCCTGACCATTTCTTTTTTGTCATTTGATTAGGTCTGAGCTTTGTTTTAATGTCCAGCTCAAAAAAAAAAAGTTCTTCTCTCACTTCTATCAAAGTGTTTTAAGTTTTTACGATTATTTTTTCATGGTTTAAAACTTACTTTTACAGATATAAAGTTTTTGCTCCTTGTGCTGATGCCTCTGTCTGGGTGTCTTTCCCCAGGCGTGTCGAGACTTCTTGGACCTAGCAGAGACCCACAGCAGGAGATGGCAGCGGGAGCTGCAGTATGAGCGCGAGCAGCGTACACACCTAGAGGAAACCATTGAGCAGTTAGCTAAACAGCATAACAGCCTGGAGCGAGCGTGGAGAGAAGCACCCACGCTTGTTTCCAGTGCCCCCAGTGCCCCCAACACCAACAAAGGTGAGAGTGACTGCCTTGTGACTTTTTTCCTGTGCGGATTCAGACTTCATTGGGTGAAAGTCATGTTTTAATTCAGGATTTCTGTGTCCACTCCATGAACAGTAGAGGTTTACAGTTGTGTCAGGTGCACTAAATTCAGTTTTACTTAGTTAAAACAGATAATTAGCTTCTGTTGGAACTATACATCATGTGGTCTGTTCACTTTAATAAGTCTGTCCAGTTTCTCTCTAGGCTGTTTACTTTACGTTCTTACATTTAATTAAAAAACAGCAAGCATTAAATCTGTGTGTCCATTAGCTGCAGTTACCATTTGATGCATTTGGAGAGGTAGGACATTTTATAAAACATTGTCTGCATCAGTAAGAGTAGATAAGAAGACACAGTCAATGTCAATTTTCATGAATAAAAATCTATATTAAACAGGAAACAGATAATGAAACACCACAGCAGGTGATTGACAGCTGGACTCTCCGATAGTCTGGTGACATTGGGGATAGTGTTGCCTGTAACTGCTCTCCTGCCAGTTACAGCATCATCTGTTTCCTGTCTAATATGAAGGTTTTTCAGAAACGTTATATCATTTCTCATGAAAAGGAACATATAGCTAATCAAAAATATATATAATTACAGAGAAGTACCTTAATTTCTAATAAACTTATTTATATGAAGATAACTGTGGTGCATCTATCTGAGCTCTGCCCACTTCTTACAACAATCTGTCATCCTGACTATAAATGTTTTCTCTACAACAAAAATATTTTAATATAAAAATAAAAAGTTAGTATCTTTTTTTATGTGTGTGCTTTACTTATTTAGTTATGAAAAACTATTTGTTTAGAGAAACAGACCTTTGGTGATCATAGTCGATTCAGTAAGACTGTAATCTAATTTTTTTTTTTTTTAAATAAGATTATTTGTGTTTTTAAATGTTTTTGAATATGAAACTGTAAGTCAAGCTTGAGAACCACAGGGTCTCTGGCTGTTAGACTGTTTTTCCCTTAAATTAATTACCGTATGTGCGTAATTATGCGTATGTGATTACACGCTGCTCTCTTTTCAAGTAACGTGATGGTTATGTTGCTGCTGCACACTGTCAGTCTGCATGACTGTATGCACTGAGAAATATGTTTCAGGAAGCGAGAGGCCACTCAAAGAAGAAGCAAGTGACGAAGATGAAGATACAGAGTTTTTTGATGCCATGGAGGATTCCCCTGCGTTTATCACAGTGACAACCACAGAGAACACTCAGCACAGGTCAGTACACAGTCTGTCACTCTCTGTGTTACTTTACTCCGTGTACCTTTGTACTGCATTTGCTGTTTGTGGCTTAAATCTGCCAAGAATATTCACTGTGGACAGTGATCATATTTGGTGGTAATACATTCAGATTCTGAACTTGTTTTTATAGCATTAGATTAACTGACACTGGAGAGAACAAAGTGGCCTCAGAAAGGTTCATTTCTTCACCCAATCCATCCATCCATCCATTTTCATCCGCTTATCCGTTACCGGGTCGCGGGGGCAGCAGTCGCCACCCAAATCACATTGCACCGTACCAAACCTTCCTGCGGGTGGTGAGTCCACTGGAAGGTACCAACCGCCCTAACCGGGATTCGAACTTGCCCAGGAGGTGAACCCTGGGGTTCCACACCAATGACAGAGACATTGCCTCTGGGCCAAAGCGCCACTTCTTCACCCAATAATGTTTGTTAATGACAAATATTTTTGGCAGCCTAAATATTTATTTCAGGTCACTTGAAGTGATCAGTTATATTCATTTTCACTCAGTTTGAATGTCATTCCAAGATCTTGGAGCAAAAGAGTTAAATGTTATACTGTCAGGTTTTATTTCTGACCCTGGGTTGAAGTACAGGATATCATCACAATAGATCCAAGGCCAGTGGTTTGACTTGTACGTAAAATAGTCAAAATAGCCAAATCTGTGAAAACCTCAAATCCAAACATAGCAGATTGATTAAAAATGCTTAGAGATACGAGATTAGAAAGATGCCATGTAGCAGGACTAGTCAGTAGCTGTGCTATCCTACAAGCAAAATTAAACTGTCCCTTTATTTTTTTTTACAAAAAAAAAAAAAAAGATTCATATAAATAGATAAAACCCTTCTGGTATACTGACACCTCAGATTAAATTATTTATTTATTTGCCTGTTCAAAATAACATTGATTTGGAAGAAATAGTGTGACTATACAATAGTACAGACAAACAAAATGCAGCATTTTGTGTTTAAACTGCAGATGGAGATTTTGAAATAACTTCACCATCTGCATAAAAACACCCCAACATTCTGTATGGGGCCACAAACAGCAATCCCTAATATGCAACAGAAGACACTTCCTATGGTAGAGGCTAAAGTAAAATAAAAAATAAAATGAAGAACTTAACGAACCACAGATAATGTGTTTTAGCTGATAAGAAGTTAGAAAAACTGAATAAAAAGACAGAAACCAAGGTGAATATTGTGCTTTAGGTGTGGTCTAATTTGTTTTGCTAGGGAAGTGGAATTGCTGACAGCAGAACAAAGCTTTGTCAACGTGTCTAGATGTGACAACCTAACCATGCATACACATAAATCACATTTCCATGAGCTGTGTTTTCCTGAAACATTGTCATTACTGCATAATCATTTATTTCACACGGGCCTGTTTCCTTCCAGTAGCTAAGCATATTTTTGCAGCGATTAAGTAATTATCCAAAGGCTGTCGTTGAGTGCCTTATTCCTTATCACTGTTATGATTGATCTCTTCAACTTTTCCCCCATATTTCTGTTGAAACTGAAAGTGTTGCACATCATTCATCTCTACTGCACAGCCATCTTCATAGTCCTTTGTGTGTCTTGTGTTCACATGGGTTGTTTTAGCAAGTGATAATGGATGACAAATAGACAAAGAGTTCCCCTCTGAGATCACACTCTCACTCTGTTCCAGGCGTTCTCAAAGTAATCTGAGTGGAACGAGCGAAGGTCACCCCAACGACTGGAACCAGGACAACCATGTGAGTTTGTGTCTCCTTAACCAGTCTGACTAATAGCTCTGACATTTGCCAACGGCGCTGACTCTTGTAATCTCTGTGTATCTTCTTCAATATGGATACATTTTCTCATTGATTATTTATAATCAAATTGCCTCGGCTTTTCTCGCAGCCTTAGTTTCTTTGCCTACACAACACGCACACACGCATATGCACACACACACACACATACATATGTAAGCTTTGAATTTCTTGCGGTCTTGTTCTCACTGATCTGATGCCAAAGATGCACAGCTGTATCCTTCCACTAAACATTAGTAGAAGTCAAACATCTGTTTCTTTCTTCTTCACCTTCTACTTTTATCCATCTTCTTTCCTTTTCTCCTTCTTTTTCCTCCTTCATCTTCCCTTCCTCCCTCTGCCCTCACTTGATGCACTTCTCTTGGTGTTTTGTACAATTTGGCTTCCTGTCGATTTGGCTCTACTGTTTCATTATTACTTACTTTCACTATTTACGTCCCTTTCCTTTTCTTCTTGCTATTTCACTGCAGTTTCCCCTTCTCTCACAGTCTATTTTTTTGCTGTTTCATTGAGTCTTGTTTCTCCAGTGTTTTGATCACAATGACCAGATTTTTTTCTTTTTTATCATTTTTTATGTACTAAAACTTTGCTATTCTCTTTTTCCTCATCCTCCATCCCATCACAGATGTCTCCAGGTTGTAACGATGTGTCGGGGAAGGAGTTGCAGCCTTGCAGACATAGGCGAACTCATATTCCTGACAAGCCCAACTACTCCCTGAATTTATGGAGCATCATGAAGAACTGCATTGGCAAGGAGCTCTCCAAGATTCCTATGCCTGTAAGGGAATATGGCCATAAGGCTCCTTGTCAACAACATGATGGTATCACTGTATATTTACAGCAGTGGTTCATATTCTCTCTCTCTCTCCCTTTCTCTCTTTCTCTCTCTCTCTCCATTCAGGTTAACTTCAATGAGCCTCTGTCAATGCTGCAGCGTCTCACTGAAGACCTTGAGTACCATGAGCTTCTGGACAAGGCAGCACGATGTGACTCCTCCCTGGAGCAGATGTGCCTGGTCGCTGCCTTCTCCGTATCTTCCTACTCCACCACAGTCCATCGCACAGCCAAGCCCTTCAATCCCCTCCTGGGCGAGACATATGAGCTTGATCGCCTGGAAGAGTTTGGCTACCGCTCACTGTGTGAGCAGGTAACAGCAGCACCATCTGAAGATTCAAGTCCTTCCCTGTGTTCTTCCTTTTTAACCTCTTCAGTTTTCCCTCTCGTCTCAGGTGAGCCATCACCCTCCCGCTGCTGCACATCACGTGATTTCCCAACGAGGCTGGACCCTGTGGCAGGAGATCACAATTGCCAGCAAGTTTCGTGGCAAATACCTCTCCATCATGCCTCTGGGTAAGATGCACACAGACACAGCACCAGGAATTCACTTGTTCATTTGTACAGAGTAGAGTCCACGGATTGGCCACCCACAGGTTCTGAAGTCACAGGCAGAGTGAGAATGAATCAGAAGGGTTTTATGAGGCTTTTGACACCTCTATAAAATAAATCTATGAAGGTGCATCTCTCTGCCCTGGAGCAGAAGAGAGCAGCGGACCGTTTGTTCAGATAAGTGAGAGATTTGAAAGATTGAGAAACCACCAGGCGATGAAGAGAAATGTATCTTTTCTCACTTTTTTATTAAACCTCCATTTGTGCATTAATAATTAATTCAAACTCTTGAAGCCAAATGTTAACAGCATGTCATCAATCTTCCACCGTTTATTTCCATTGGAAAGTTGTGGGAAACTACTAATCTCTGCAGATGATGGGTTCTATGCTGCTGCATGTAAAAATATATTACCTATAACTACAGACAGTCTGCAGCAGCAGCAGCAGCAGCTCATCATAGAAATATTGATTTCTATGATTAAATGAAAGCAACATTTTTTTTCTAACTTTTGTACTGTCTCCCCTCAGGTACCATTCATCTGCACTTCCACTCCAGTGGGAACCACTATGTTTGGAGAAAGGTCACTTCCACGGTACACAACATCATTGTGGGCAAGCTGTGGATTGACCAGGTCTATATTTTGAAGCATTTCACACTATTAACAAATTTCCAACAGCTGCAAACTTACCGCTTCCCAGAAAATCCAGCAGATATTTTGTTATTCATCATCTGTGGTAAATGTGCAGTATGGGCCAGAACAGCACTGATCCTTCTCTCCAGTAGAGAACAAAGGCTTACAGCACATGAATAGGGCTCGGCACAGTCTCTAGGCTTTATCTCCAGCTTTGATCTCTGATAACACTCTTAAATATCACTTTCATTTTTGTTGTGAAGTTCACTTTTACAGAGGCTGCAAAGTATGCTTCTCATCCTGTCTCTGTGGAACTGCAGATATTTAAACTCTGTCTTATTTTTAGACACAAGCACAGCCACACTGGTCAAAACAGTGTCCAGAAATTATACAAATCTTCTATCCATGTGCTGTCTCCCAATCTTGTGATAAAAATACATTATTACATGTGTACTCCCTCTGTTTGGATCATTTGTTGTTTCTAACATGTTTTCTCAACTATCTTTTTTATAGTATAGTTACCATCACCAAATTCTAACAAATTCTTGACAAAGGGTGTAAACTGAAGTCAATGTTTCTGTCACTTTTACTCTTTATATGACATTCTCTCTCTCTCTCTCTCTTTCTCTCTTTGTCGCTCTCCCTTTCCCTTTTTCACAGTCTGGCGACATTGAGATTGTTAATCAGAGGACAAAGGAGACTTGTCAACTCAAGTTCTCTCCCTACAGTTATTTCTCCAGGGACGTTCCACGCAAGGTAAATGATTTCCGTTTCACACTTTACTGAGGCCTGACCTTGGACACTGTTTGAGCCCATAAATACAGCGGTAGCTATTTTGTGTGGTGCTGCCTCCTGCTGGACGATGGCAATATTTAGATATCAACTGTAAGATTGGAGTCACTTTTAAAGCAGGGCTCCAAGCTATTTTATTTTTAGGTGCCTTCACCTGCTGTTTTTGGAGTCTGTTAAATGTTTCAGTAGTATAGAAAGATGGCAGTACTGTGCATATAGTTCCACAGAACTTGTTTATTATTGACTGAATGAACATTGTTGTTTCCAGGTGACAGGTGTAGTGACAGACAGCGATGGTCAGGCTCACTACATCCTCTCTGGTACATGGGATGATAAGATGGAAAGTGCCAAGATCATTCACAGCAGCAGGGGGGGCAGTGTTTTAGAGGGCAAGCAGAAGACTGTCTATCAGACTCTGTCCCCCAAACTGCTGTGGAAAAAATACCCTTTACCATAAGCTCTTACCTCATCAGGAACACACTGAAATATCTAAGACATGGTTGTTGTATAAGAGCTGCAGTCCCAGGTCAATATTATTGATCACAGAGGTTCTCTTCTCATTGTCTCAGGGAAAATGCAGAGAATATGTACCACTTCTCTGCACTGGCTCTGACCCTGAATGAGCCAGAGGAAGGCGTTGGACCGACAGACAGCCGTCTGAGACCAGACCAGAGACTGATGGAAGACGGACGATGGGACGAGGCCAACTCGGAAAAACAGAGACTAGAGGAGAAGCAGAGAGCAGCGAGACGGAGGAGGGAAGCAGAGGCCTCGGATGCGACAGATGAAGGTATGAAATAAGGAATAGAACAGGAGATACTTACTAACAATGGAGGTAAGCAGGGTTCATGATAGCTGAGTAAATTCTGGAACTATATCAGCGGCCGTGCAATCCTTGACCTAGTGAGAATATAAATAGTCCCGTCAATCAGGCCTGCAGCTTTAAGGGTACAAGAGCCATAGTCTGACAGGGCTGATGACTGAGATTAGTTGCAAGCATCAAATAGTGCTGAATCCAAGCAGAATTTACTGATAATACTATTGCTGCAGAGCAGGAAGCTCCCATGTGCATTCATCAGTGGGTCAAAGAAAGGTGTCACCCAGTTTCTGCTGAGATTTTTCCGGGTTCATCCAAACAGTGGAGCGTAACTGCAACCATGACCTCAGATTACCATCTCAGTATCTGGTAGAAACTGATGTTACTGTTACGAGTATACACTATACACTAAGATAAACTTGCAAAAATGCAGGGTGGTGTCTCCAGTGGCATTGTATTCAAGTATAAGAAGTACAGTAGAATAACTCAGTGTAGATTTGACCAACTGTCCTCCATTCCAATATCTAACCCAACTCACAATCCTTACTGACTGAAGGTAACTTAAACCAGTGTTTCCCAACCTATTTTGAGCCATGACACATTTTACATTGGAAATACCTCACAGTGCACCACCAAACAAAAATGCAACAAAGAAAATGTGATGAAATGCAATCTTCTTCTTAAAGACAAATCATTTGCAGTAATTAATGATAGTTCTCAGACCAATTAAGTGAAATATGATTATTTTCCACTGCCCACCTGATTATCTGTCACAGTGGTTGGGAATCACTGACTTAAACAACAACGGTGTGTTGAAGCCAAACGTCATCTTTAATATTGCGTAAGAGCTTAGGGTAATCTTGATTGGTTAGGAAGTTGTTTATTTGTTTACACAGAACCTGTTCACTGATCATGTGTGTGTTTCTGTTTAGACTTGAATGTCTTTAATGTACCCATGACTTGTCTTTCTTTTGTTCCCTCTATTGATGGTCAGAGTGTGATTATGACTCTGGTGAGTGGGGGCTGCTTTTTCGCACCTCAGTTGTACATCTCATGCACACACACACAGAGACACACACACACACATACACAGACACATGCCCATTAACTGTGTGTTCTCTGTGTGTTCTGCCTCTGTGTAGAAACTGCATGGTGCCCCTCTCATGTCAACTTCTCCAGAAAGTGGAGAATAAGGAAAAGTCTGACTTTTTTCCTGAGCAACATTTTCACTTAAGATTTTGTGCCTAGTGACAGATAGCAAATTTTAAAAATATTGTTGAACCACATCAGTGGTTGATTGTTGGTATTGTAGCTTCTTTCTAATCTAAGGCTTAGATAGATTAGTGAATTAGTTTATGGATTTTTTTACTCACTACGAAAGAAAGACAAGCTATTTGAAACATTTAATTTTCCTGACAATAACATTGTACTTATAAAGGAAACTATGTTACAGCTGCAATATTTCTTCTCTACCATCTCTTATCCAGGTTGTTTTACTTCTCCAGGTTAGAGGAGCTTGTTCTTAAATCTTTTCTCTTTTATTATTGAATTCAACACTAATATAAAAAATCAGAAACTTCTATCTGTATTTGGTATTTGTACTTTACTTGGTATAAATCAGGCAAAAGGACAAAATAATGTCCCTATTTTCTACAGTACAACCATGTTCTATGAAGAAGACGATTCAATAGCAATAAAATATTAAGACAATCAACCAACTATTTATCAACCAGAGACACACTGCACAATGTAGTACTGCAGCTGATGCTTAAATTCAGTTCTGAAACGACCCACACAAAGCAACAAGAATATATAAAATCATTAACATTCTCCCTTTGATCCCATTTTTTTTAACTAACGCAGCTTTTTTAAACATATTTTATCAACCTAATACATTGTAATCCCAGTTTAAAAATAATTTCCCCCACTTACCACTAGAGGGAGTCGATTTACCACCGGTGGTGAGTGTACCATAGTTTGAGAACACCTGACCTAAAGTAGTCCATCCCAGTATATTTTCTGATGCAGTACTGTAAGAACTCAGAGGTTCCTCCAAATCAGGCATGGTTTACATCCTTGGCCAGACCAGAAGATCTTACCTGTTGTACTGCTAATTTAGAAAACTCCAAAGATAATAACTGTATGATTTTCTTTTTCAGTTCAACTTTTGTGAAGTACATCAACATTGGCCTAATTTATTCAATATATATAAATACAAATCAAACTACAGATTTTAGGTAGGGAGTTTGAACCAACACATTCTATCTACTGTATGTGTTATTATGAATATGCTTGCCTGCAAGTGTAGCTTATTGAATAAATGTTGATTTAATAAAGGCAATGGCAATTTTTCCCCACAGGCAGAGAATATGAAGGCTATCAGCCATTATGGTTCCACCAGAGGAGAAACTCAATCACTGGAGAGACAACCTTTGTGTACAAGGGAGATTACTGGGAGACGAAGGAGAGACAGGACTGGAGCATGTGTCCTGACATCTTCTAACCCAGGAACTGTCACACCTCACCTCAGTGGACAGGGAAATGGTTATGGCCTCTTTGCTTTACGCAGTAGAGTCTAGTTGGCTCGTAAGCAGTACATGGACTATTGTGGAATGTGACAATGCAATTGTGTATGTTTCCACACATTCTTCAATTTCGGATTACACTGTACCTCCAAATGTACACCTGCACTCTGTTTTTACTGTCGGGGGACAAGAAGGAGCAGCCGGGTAGTTTGCCCCTTTTTTAGTCCTGACTCTGAAACAGTATTTAGAATGTGTGGTTATGACATCACACAACGAATGCGCCTACATACTACCCATGTCACACTTTGCTGTTATTACCGCAATTCCTAAGTTTTCAAACTGGGTAGAAACCCAAATCAAAAATACAATACAATTGTAGACTAGGATGAAGTAGAGTCTTAGAAACACACTCAGTGCTTTAGTACTAAAAAGATATTCAAACTCATTTCCTGTCTTGTATACAATAATTGAGGTTGGGTTAGAGTCTACTGGTCGATGCAGGAGAAAGCTCACACCTGGAAAAGGTCTGCTGTTGAATTTACAGAACAATATAAGTAATGTTACTTTAACCTAAACTGTGAATGAATCTGGTCCATCTTTTAAATCTTACCTTATTTTAAATGTCATTTTTAATTCCCATTAGTTCTCACATACAATTTAAACAAACAGTTTTATCTACAACCATTTAATGTTATTTGGCTTTTAAGGTTGGCAGACAAATGAAAGGACAAACTTTAGGAAAAAAAGAAAGTGTTGGGGTAAGATATGTTTTTTTTTTAGTTATCTCAAAAGTTAAATGTGGTTGAATACATCTCAACTAAATTATTTATTATGTTAATGATATATCTTAGCAGTCTGTTTTCACAGTACAAATGCAGTACATTTATTTTCTTTAAACAGGTTTAGCAGCAGTGCAGAAATGCATTTTTATTGGTAGAAATGTTGTGACTCTACTCGAGGTAAACGTGAGTACATGTTTGTCTGTTTATGAGCAGATCAGTATTAAGTACATGCCATGTAAAAACACAAACTGGACATCTTTCGCTGTAGGACTGCATCAAAGGATGCCAAAGGAACAATCTGTTCATTTTCGACACATTGTTTGACTGAGTTCACTCATTCAGAAGAACAAAAACACTTCATTTGTCAAAATATTTTTTGCTATGTGCTACGCAAGATAAACAGGTTGCTTTGAGGTTGCAGTTATATGTGTAATTTTATTACAAGTGTAAGTGTAATTTAAAGGAACAGTGTTAACCTTGTGCAGCTGCAACCAACCAAATAGTAATGTTTCTCTTTAGATTAAACTTCTCAACATTTTAATTAAACACATACAGTTGTTTCCTATAAAGAACCAGTTAATGTTGCACAGCGTTTATGATGATGTTTTGAGCATAGATATTGTAACAGTAGAATGCGCTCACACACAGTAGAATAACCCAGTCTATGTGGAACCATGTTGTCTATGAAATCTCCACGAAAGACCTGAACACACTTGTTTCACTGTGATTGTACATTAGGTCAGGTCTGTGTATTCAGTTCCTGTAAAGCTGGCTTCATCCTTGATGAACATTTTACAAGGCTTTGTTCTACTTCGGCATGTTATGTTATTAAGTCTGCACCAAACTCACAGAAACTTTCAGTACTACTCACCCGATGCACTCTTGGTGTCTAAAAGTTTCTCTGGACAGCTCCTTTTTCAGTATCTCTTCCTGAGACTGGAGAGGCTTCTTGAGAGTGATTTTAGCTGACTGGAGCTCAGGGCCGGTTCCTGCTCCAAAGGCTTTACAGCAGAGGATTCACCCAGCTGCAGCTCCAGACTCACTGCTCCTCACCTGTGTAGACCTTTGAATGAGTGTTTGTAGACATGCTGATCTGGGATCAGCTTACAAGGATACCCTCAGTCTTAGGCCTTAAATTGACTGAAGAAGGGAAGCAGTTCTCCCACTTGTGCACTACATGTCTATGTTGACATCTAGGGTTAAAAAAAATACAAAAACTAGTTAGTATTTTTTTGTAATTACTCTTAGAAGTCATGAGGCTGGAGGTGTGTATCTGCTGTTTGTCTATTTCTGTGAATAGTTTGTGATAAATGACAATATTGTAAAGTTAGGAATAACATATTCTAATCTGAGTGTTAAATTATCTGTACAGTATCTTTGAAATCTGAAAAAGATTAACTGACGAGCCCCGAGGATTTCAAGTTTTGAGTTTCAAACTTGATGATATCGTTGAATATCTAAGGTAATCAAAAATAAAACGGCTCAGTGTTGAACATTTATATTTTCATAACCCCCTAAAATGAACTTGAACTTGTCCCTGATACTGTCACAAGTGTCCATCAGTCATCACTCCCTCACATGCGTAGGCCATAGTGATGTTTAAAATTGACTAGAAATGACAAAACCCTCCATTTTTCCATATTTCACCTGTTTTGAGATGAGCTCTTGAGGTGACAGTGTTAGTGTTAATGATTTGATGACAAAGGACGACTGTATTATGAAAAGGCTTCTTTATCTAGTCACACAAAAGATTGTGGTGCGTGTCTTTTTTAAACATGAGATTGTCGTGAGCACAGACTATTTATCATATAAGCATTTACTTCTGTTCCTGTAAGCATAAAAGCTTTTGAGGAGTGACATGGCAGCAGAATAGTTTATTTTTTCTATTAAGAAAACTCAGTTTGCATCGTTTTCTGTTGTGACACAACTTGAAAACAAACGTGTTGAAAGTTTGCCCTATTCTTCGAACGATCAAAATAAAGTTGACGAAAGATTTACATTCATATATTGTGTTTGAGATGATTTTATACTTGAGAGTACATATTATATTTTGAATGATGATGAAGAGCTCACCATATGTTGTAGCCTATATATATATATATATTTACTGATGACGTGACCGCAGCACCTGATGGCGACTTGCTTGTTGTGGTGACTATGTGTCAGCTGTAGCAATAATGCAGTGAGGTGTTGGTTTCTCAGTCCATGGCTGTTGTTGCTACAAACTGTTGTTTCGATCACACAGCGAAGGGTGAAAACAACCAAAGTTTACTGGAGAGTGCACTGTAGATTAAATAAGTACCTGCTCACCTGCCTTTCTGCGTCTGAAGGATCTCATTTAAACTCCCTCTCACTCTTTCACTTCATCTCCACCATCACTCAATGTCACTGTGGTGTAGGTCTAGTTTTAATTCTTAAGCTTTTCTTCTCCGTTTTTGATTTCTGTCTTCTCATGGGTGCCATTATTCTTACATTGTTGTTTTCTTTCTGTCTGGATGAATAATTGTTGGATCTTTGTGCATGTATGTTGCACATGTCCCCTCTCATGTGATGCTGCTTAGTTTTGAGGCAGGGGTTCATTAATGAGATTAAAGACGAGATTGTTGCCTTGTCGAATGTGAACCCTGCTTCTTCTCACTTCCCTCACTTCTGTGACTTACGTTTTGTTTGTTCGTTTTCTTTTTTGAGAAAGTTAGAACTGTTTGTGAGGATGTGTTTACTACATGTCAACAACAGTCTAATGCAGAAGGCCAAAGGGGCTTGACCAGCCTGGACTACTATTACATCCCGAACACATGTGTGAAATCACAGGTCACTGCAGATTGAACTGAAGATATCTGATTACTGTTTCTTTTTCAATCTTTTTTTTTTTGTTCCTTGATTTATACTTGTAACACCATCTTTACAAACAAAGACACCACTGAATAAGGATAATAAAATTGGTTTGGTTGTCACATAGTATCCATCTGCTTTCTTTTCTTGGAGGACACCATGAATCTAATTGTCATAATCAATATGGAATTTAAACTGTTGAATTACCTTAGAGAAAATTATACCTCACCCAATCCATAGGGAACTACTAAAGGTACTTTGTTTGTTTCAGACATATACCTCAACAACATTTACTACGCTCACTAATACGTGTGATGATTTAAAATCCTTTACAATGGTAGCTTTGAGTTGATGTTACAGTCTTGCATATACACATCTAGCCACCATTTTGTGAGTAAAATTTTTTTTAAATTTTAAAATGCTAATTAAGTTCCTATTCAGTGTATAACTACTTTTTTAAAGCCCTGAAAGCCATGACAAACTCCATGAAATGTATGTTCTTTTTTAGTTTAGTTAGATAACAACTAAGAACTTGGGAAATAATTGTATAGTAACAAAAACTATGGTTTACTATGTAAAGTCATGCAATGTAGTAGAAACTATTGTAAACTCACCTTTAAGTGAATATGATTTTTCTTTTGCATTTTAAACCAGTCCCCCCCTTAACCGTACATCTAATAATCTGGAGATTTTAAACCAGGTCAAACACAAATATCAGTTGTTACTTCTGGCTAAGTAAGTTTACAAACATTAGTTCGTGACCTTTTATAGTACAAAACCTTCGTTTTTTAATAAACGTAACTTAAAACATTATGGGCCAGGAGAACTGTACATTAAAACCTCAGCAAGATAAAAAAAAATCTTAATGGAATTTCGTATGTAATCGTGGTTAAAACTCAACTGAAATTCGCGCTTAGAAAAGCTCAGACTAACTCGATATAGAATTGTATAATCGCTATAATTATATAATTTTCGAATTAAATTTTAATTAGTGCGGCACTGTGGTCATTTAATTCCGATTTGGCCCTTTCGGTGGCGGTAAAATTAGCGCCACGGAGATGCGTTTGTTATTGTTTAACCGTTTCCACCACGACACCGGGTGACATCCTGTTCTGCCGAGAAGAGTCAAGAACTTCTGCCACTTTTTCTTTACAGGACACAGCTGTATTACAAACAACAGGTAAGTCAATAGACAACGTTCCTTTGTTAAAATGTTAGCGTTGGTGTTTTTCTAATGATTCACATACTCTTTACTGACGGTGCGCATTCAAAATACGTGAAGTTTAAGTATTAACCAGCTAGAATGTATAGTAGGCTAAATGACTAGCTATTGAACCCCTGCGTCTTCCGTTTTTTAAGCGTTACTACTCCCTAATAACACAAATATAATTCTATAACAAAACCAAAATTATAAAAGTTTAAACTTTAAAAAATATTTCTTTTAAGAGTTATGTATAATATTGCGATTATGAATCATAATACAAAGATAAAGTGTGCACCGCCTTGGTTGAACAATATTTCCTTTTTATTTTTTCTTGTCCTCTTCGTTCTTTCTTTCTTTTTCTTTTTTTTAAACACCGACACCACTGTGTCTTGAATGCTCCAGTTTTACCTTATTTCTTCAACACAAGTGGATTATTTTCGTCTGCAATCTCAAAGTCCATTTGTGTTTTCTGATACTTTAATTTCCAGTCTGGGTCATAATGTTGGTGTACTCTTTCTTTAGTTTCAACTCTATCATTGAATTTCAATGAACCCACTACATATATGATTTCCTCTATAGAAAGTCTATCAGTAATTAAATTATAAATGTTGTCCTTTTTTTCTTTTTCATTTTTGGTACATCTGCATATGTTCACCATTTAATATCAACTAGAAACTAACATTGCTGCACCTTTCTCCACAATGGAATGATCCTGCCAGGCTTTTGGACTTGATTTGATTCATACAGAGAGGCAGAGAAAAAAAGTCAGGAGGAATTTATAGCCTTCAGTGTGAACAGTTGCCAGTTTGTCCTGCTAACAAGCTAAATTGCCCTGGTTTCCTGGACAACTGAGCAAAATAAACCCTCCACTTCTTCTTTCTCAGGGACTATCCACTCAGCCATCACCACTAGGAACTACTGGGGATGTTGTGTCCACGTGAATGTCCGCACTTTTGTCCTCAGCATTAGGACATGGACGTGGACAGGTTCCATGATGGAACAGAAGAGGATGCAGGGGATAAAGATGAATTGATGATTCTGTACTCTGGTCTGAATTCTTTAATGCTGTTTAACACTGTGAAATATTTGACTGCTGCAAATACACTCTTATGAACTGTTTTTTGTCTTGAACCTCACAGATCTTAATGACAGCAGACATGTCTTAGACACTCAGCCTCTCAGGTTGGACCACTGTGACCTTCTCCTCGATGCCATGGATGCTGAGCTCAGTCAACTGCAGGTAGTTGATTTCCAGAACTGTACTAAAAGTACTACCTATATTTAGAGTAGAGTAAGTTTTAAATAATAATAAGTAAGTTTTAAATATTATTCATTATATTAAAAGTAACGTATTTATCCATGTGTGACTGCCAATGTATAATTCACAGTATTTTTTTTATTTTATGTACAAGGGTGTATTTCATATTTTCACATATTCTATATGAGTTAATTGGCTGCCAAAATAAAAATCTTAAAGAGTCCCTGGTCATCACTTCTTTTTTAAGATTTTTTTTTCTTGGTTAGAATTTTGTATTTGATTGGAAACACAGTAGGTGGCAGCAATTCCACTTACAAATCCAACCTTCTGTTTGAAACCAAATAGTCTTCTTTGAAATGTTATGATGTGGGTGAAACCTTAGTTTACAACAGGATCTTGGATCTTTAATCTGGTCTTAGTGATTATAGTACATATTATAGTCTGACCTATACTGTTTATCAATAGCGTTATATACATTTACTGTCCTAGTACTTTACAATTACATTTAAATTAATAATTTTCTGTTATCACAGATCCCAACACAGAATCATCTGGAACATTCTAAAAAGCCAGAGTCATACAAAGCTGGTAATTTATTTATCAATAAACATCTAAAATGATTTGTTTCTGAATAATCTCTGTTATTTTCTTCCTCTTAGCTCCTCTTCAGTGGAGTCAGTCTCTGTGCAAAGACACGGGCCTCAGAAGCACCAGTCTTTCAGACACTCCAATGTCTTGTCTAGAATTGATACAAACTCCAGCAGCGGTGCCCACGTCAGGTGACATTTCAACAGAACTTTTTTCACAGTTCTATTTAAACATGCTTTGTGTAAATAAATGTTTCTTCTACTCTAACCCAGATAGGGGGGGAAAAAATGCAATGTCTTGTGAGGTTAAAAAGAAATCAGATGGAAATACAAGAAACTTAAATGACATAGAGACTCATCGAGAAGAAGTCCTTTGGAGGCTGGAGCGGCTTCTTGGAGACACCTGTATTGATGATGTTATTGCAAAACCACAACCTCTTTCAGACAGTATCTGCACAGAGGACTTTGTCAGGCACTTTCGAGACGAGATGGTAGAAGTGGCTTTGCCAGAGAGTAATATCCCACAGCTGGATGGTAACAAAGTGATGAAGAGAGCAGAGAACTCAGACAGTGACACTTGTCTGAATAAACAGAAAGGACAAGGTGTTCGTCAGGTCAGAAGAATGGGCTCATCTTTGAAAAGCACCAGAGAAGCAGTGGTAACCCAGACAAATGAGACAAGCCGAAGAATGAATCTAAGAAAATGTCTGTCACACAGTGTGGGAGTAAATAAATCATATGTCAACGAGGAAGAAGCACAAAGAATCAATGAGGACGGCAGAAGTAAGTGGTGAAAAAAGTTGTCCACATTTAGCAGACTGTCTGAAATAACAATGAGAGCCAAAATGTAAATTCTACTGCATGTTTTAATTACACACATTCCTGTTTGGACCAGTGCAGGGTTTGTTCCATCTCTTATTTAGTTCGTGTTGCACACTATTAAAACCCTATTTTTCTTTAATTTCTCTCTCACAAAGTGAAACAAAATGAAAAAATGGACCATGACAAGAGCTGTTCTCACAAGACCAGGTTCTTGACAGGTACAACACACACACATTCTCATTAATCCTCTTGTACAACTGTGGGTTGTAAATAGGTTCTGTGGGTTCTGTGGTGTTTTTTCAGGTGTACCTGTAATGAGTTTTGACTCCGTGTCCATTGCTAGTGACCTTGACTCTGTCTCTACAGACCAAGTCAGACAAAACATTCAGAGTTGTCCAGGTAAAAAAAATATTTCAAAAATGTGAAGGAAATATTAAAAGTAGACATTCCAATATAAGTAACAATAATACAAATGAAGATATAGTTAGCACAGTAACTATGTCGTCCTCAGGATGGCGCTTTTTCATCCAGTCTGTCACAGGTTTGGAGGAAAACCTGAGTGACTTTGAAACCGTGACAGAAGAAAAAAGTGAAGCTCAGTCTTCATCAGGTAAAGTTCTTATGACTGTTATCTTACCAGTGGTACCAAAGTTTCTTTAAAATTATTTCTTTTTTCTTCTGCACAGTTCACAGCTCCTCTTTTACAGATAAAAGAAGTCCTTCTGTTTGTAAAGTGCTGCAAAAAAAGAGCGAAACTTTCAGGTAAGAGAAACCAAAAAAACAAACAGATTTTAACATAAAACCCACTTATTTTAAACTTTGCATTGTCTGCATTTTAAAGAACTTTGATAAATAATGACAAGGGCACAGATGAGGAAATAAACCACTGCAGTGGACAACACAGGTCAGAAAGAATCCAGTGTGGGAAAATGAAAGAGCAACTGAAGAATCTCAGACAAGTAGGAAAACCGTTCCCTTCATATCTTTCTATATTTTTGTGTAATTTTTATTTAAACTTCTGACACAATAATCTGTGTGTTCAGAAGTGTGAGAAAGAGGAGGAGCTGCTCCTTCTGAAGAGGTCTCAGTTAAAAGACATTGATCTCTGCATCTCTGAACTTCGACAAAGACGAAAGGTAAGTGAAAACCAAAATGTTTTTTCCACTGAAGAAGCTGTGAACAGAAATGTCGCTGAATAGAATGTCACTAACAGTTTATGGTTTATCACCCAGCATGCTTTGCAGGAACTAGAGCGACTGACTGCAGAGACAGCACAGCTAGAGACAGAGAAGCAGAGTGTGGAATCAGTTCTCAGTGACATGAGGATGGAGCAGCACTCTGTCAGGTATAAAACCACTCTAATAAATACAAATGTAGGTCTTCAATCAGATCATAGGTCCGCAAACCATGGCTCCTGAGCCACATGTAGATCTTGCATTGGCTCCATGTAGAATGACCAATGGACCAATTTCACTTTGACTGTGAGCAGAAAACATTTATGACTAATATTGCCAAAGGGTATACCGTACTTGGTAGACAACAACATCCACAGTCAGCAACGTATCTAGGTCAAACCAATTTCAAACACCACACTTATTTTTTTTTATTTTAATTGTCACAAAACCACATGATGTCATTGTCTTGTTGTACCTAATTCATCTGTGAGGTTTCTAGCTGCAGTGCAGCAATATCGAAATCTGTAAATATGTTGTAATATCTAGATTGTGTTTTTCCTGGGGTTCAATAAGTGAAACAACAAGAACATGCTTCATTTATGTAAATTTCTAACATGACTACAGTATTTAAAACGTCATATATTGCACCGTCGACTTCATTTGTTTTTGTACTGTATTGTTACTGTGATATGTTATACTTCCATTTTGTTCTACGTATTGCAGTTGCCAGGTAGGAGAGTTGCAAAGACAAAGACAGTCCTGTCTGAATGAAACCAGAGACCTGGAAATAAAACTTGCATCTCTGAGTCAGCGTAAAGAGACTCTGAAGGCTCATAGTGACAAAAAAAAGGTAATAAAATCTTGATAGTTCGGGTTTATGGAAGTAGGACCACATCAAGTACTGTCACATTCCACAGCTGGGACAGGATCCAGTCTTAAGTATGGAGGCTTGTTTCCTCTACAAATAATTGGAAAGGGGGACTGGGGTGGCAGGGAGTGGGTACATAAATAAATGGATTTTTAAAAATACATTTCAAACCTCATTTAAGTCTTTAGGCTAGTTTCATGTTTTGTCTGCATACATAAGTTTGCTTATCTCTTAATCTGCCACACCAAAGCCCATAGAGAAATGTAATGTTTTTAGCTCAATGACAATGACAGTGACCTTGTGGCTACTTCCCTTTATGGGTCAGTGTCAGCTCTGAAGGTTTAAACAAACAATCATTTTTGCAGGTCACAGATTAAACATTGTTAAAATTCCTAATGGAGGCAGCAGTGGATAAAACTCCTCCGTGTCACTAAAATATTTATTTAAAAAAGTGAGTAACTTATTATAATTACATACTTAAGAAATAGTCTGATGCATTCTCACTCTCAGAGTTTTATAATATCATACACTATATTGTCTGTTGTTTCACTGTTTTCTGAACAGAACAGTATGTGGATGTTGGAGAGGGAGGAAATGGAACAACTGTTGGATTCGACAAAAACTGCACTGTTTGCTGAACAACGACCAGCAAGAAAGAAGCTGGAGTCCCTGCATGAGGTGATTTTGTATTTGATTTTTTTTTCATTCGTAATACCCACTGAAATATAAAATATTATCAGATACACTAAACCAGTGATTCTCAAACTGTGGTATGCATACCACCAGTGGTACACGAGCACTCTCTGGTGGTACGTGGGAAAAATTGATATTTTCACATTTACATTTTCAATTCAATAAATCTGAAACATACCATACACAAATAATACAACATTTAGAAAAAATGTGTATCTACTTGTGAGATTATGAAATAGGATGTCTGGTCTTTTTTTTTAATTTACTTGTTTTTTTGCTGAAATGCAAGTCTGTTGCTCACCTTAGCACAGGCAGCACGGAATCATGGGATCACTTGCAAATTGAACGTGGAACGAGCAGGGGAATTCTAATGTTGGTCATCATGGTGGTATTCAGAGAGCTCAATGTTTTCTCAGGTGGTACAGAGTATAACAAGTTTGGGAACCCCTGCTCTAGATTAAACATATGTTCTTCAAAAGCTCCCACATGTTTGTATTTAATTTGACATCAGGGAGTAATCATTATTTTGAAGAGGCCATCTTTATAATTAGCAACAATGTGAACATTCAAGAATCACTGAGAGACTCACTTTCATGTTTTTACATTTTTTTAATTACTTTATATCGCTGATATTGGAGTAGAATTTGGAACAGACTTGTGAAGAACTGGTAAGAGCCACAGAGGCAGAGAGATCAATGAGGTGCCACTACGCCCGCCTGCAGGAGAAACATATTAGGAAAAAGGAGTATGTGGAGGTGAGACTTATTTCAAATGTAAAATAGGAAAGTGAATGAATAATTTTGCTACCATAAGAATTGCACAACAAAGATTTTAACAGAAGAAGATTTTAAAAAGAACAGTAATTTTTGCCAAACTTTTTTGTTCACATTCAGGTGCTTGAGGTTCAGGTCAGAGATCTTCAGGTGGAACTGAGAGAAGGTAACGTCAGGGTGGGAACTCTGGAGAAGATGTTGGCCCAGAAAGAGCTGCAGTTGTTCAACATACAGGAAGAACGTCAGGCCTTACAGATAGAACGTAGCGGCCTGAAGGGGGAACTACAGCTCCTAAGAAAACAACAGAACAGTGCACTGAAGGAGACTGAAGCACATAACTATAAAACAATGGCAAGTGTTCAGATTTTTATGTACAGTACTTATCAGACTTCGGAAACACAATGAATTGAGATTTTAATTTCATTAATTAGACCTTTCTTTTTTCAATAAGTTGATCAAATTATATAATTATAATTATAATTATATTTTTGACATGGGTGTGTTTTTGACAGCTACAAGAGGAAGAATCAAACAAACTAAAAATATCTCTGGAGCAGCAGAAGAAAAATGCAAAAAAATGTGAAGAGGAGCTTCGTACAGAAGCATCTGCAAAGGTATTCTAATTCTGCTAAAAATATTTATTTCCATTAGTAGAAGACTGTGGTATTTTACAGCATTGTCCTATGCAGGAGCACAAAGCATTAGAGGAAGAGAGGAGGAAATGGGAGAGAGAAAAAAAAGCTGTTCAGTTGCACTGTAAGATTCTGGAGGAGCAGAATGGGAAGAGCCTGGAGAGCATGAAGAATCAGATGCAGCAGGAAAAAACCAAAGCACAAGCTCTTCAACGTAAAGTTTTGGAACTGAAAACTGTAAGGCCCAAACACTTGAGATAGGCAAATATTAACTGCCTTCACAGAAGAAGTCACCATCTGTGTCGACAGAACCTCAGTCAACCCTGCTTAGACTTTCTGTCTTTTTTTAGTCTTTGTGCAACTCTCATCTTCTTTGTAAGAAAATACAGGAACTGGAGCAGGATGGCTGCACCCAGCAGAGGGAGCAGGAGTCTTTGCTGAGTGTTATTTGCAAATCACTAAAAGAGGAGCACCAGGCCGAGCTGCAGAAGCTGAGGAAAGAGATAGGACAGGTTTTAGAAAATCACCAAAAGTTATCATTGGTAGCAACATAAAGAGAAACTTTGTTGGACTCTGTAAAGCTAAATTAGTGTTGTGGTCACAGGAGACTCACAGGACGGTTGTTCAGCTTGAACAAGCTGCTCATCTGGCAGAAGATGAAGCCAACATGCTTCGGGTGATGCTAAAAGACAAAGAGAGCACTTGTAACCAAATCAGAGCAGACTGGGATCAACAGCACAGGCACTGGGCACAGAAACTGGGAGCAGAGTGCCAGCATCTGCATCTCTTATTGGAACAGAGCAGAGCCAAACAGAGCTCTGTGCAGCTGCCTGTCAGGTAGAATGTCCTTCATCAACTATGTTAGATGTTAGTAGAAGTGTATCATTACCAAGGCATTTTGTTTGTTTTTTAAAATGGATGCATTTTGTGTTTTCAGTTCTTCGGTAGCTGAGGGATTGACAAGACTGAGAGCAGTGAGAGAAGAAGTGGAGCAGTTAATTAGTCATTTACAGCAGGAGCTAGATTTACAGAAACAAGCTACTGAGCAGCTGAGAAATGACAAGGTTGAAGTTTTTTCTCTTCAAGTGCAATAGGCATAGTGCTTTAATAACAATATACATATTACTATGTATTTATCTGTTTGCAGGATCAAGAGATGAGCATCCAGAGGCAACAGCTCAGGAAGGATAAGAATCAAGCACTGGAGTTTCTCAAAGAGCGTCTCATTCAGGTAGACAGTTACCCACCTTTACAGGCTCATGTTTGAGTAACCATGTCAGGTAATAGAAAGGTGATGTTAACTATTTTTTAAACAGGAACACATTGATGAGTTGAGCAGTATGAAACGGGCACACTTGAATGATAGAGGAGAAGAAGGAGGTGAAGGAATGGCAGCATCTCTCCGTAAACAGCTGGAAGCCAAGGACCTGGAGCTGAAACAGGTTCAGAGGTGCATGGGTCAGTGGAAGGAACAAACTGCAGCTCATCTGGCCTGCACGTTTGAAGAGGAGTTGACTGCTGAACTTGAAAGGTAATATGAATCACACTATCACAACAAAAACCTCAACCAAGTGAAGGTATTCAACCTTGGGAAAATATAATGAAAATAAATGGTGTTCCTTCTGTTGCTGTAATGTAAAGTTTTGCTCTAAATATTCACCTTCCTGCAGGTGCAAGACAAAGTTGTTAAGGGGAAGGTAACTGGTTTCTCTGCCTGTCCGACACAGTAGTAGTTGACATACTAACCATACTATCCCTGTCTTTATCATGATCTCACTTAAACCCACTCCCATGTGCTATTGACCTACACACACCTGAAGTGTATCAATACTGTAAACCAAAGGGCCTTTTAAACTTAGCTGCATTTGTTTTTTTTAGCAAAACACAGAGTGGGAAGGAGAGAAGACGTGAGAATCCTGAAGACTTGAGGGGAGAGATGACGCCTTGTGCAAAGGTTAATGTTTGACTCACTCCATATAATCTTTAACTTAAATTACTATGTTGTTAAATATTCAAAAACTACATTCTAACAGTACTGCCTCTCTTATCCTTCTCATGAAATGCAGACGTCAGCTGCTTCTTCTTCTCCTTCTGTAGTGCTCTCTGCTGCCTTCCACCGCCCTTCAGATGTTGCCTCATTTAAGCTTTTGCGTTACCTCCAGACCAAAGTGAAACAGCTGCGTCTGGAAAATCAGGCCTATACTTGGAGCTCATCTCCTCCACTCTCACTGTCCTAGGTTTGTCAGAATCCTATGTTACAAAATTAAGTAAATATTGAGAGAAAAAAAGTCAACAAAGTTACAAACATGATCTTTGTTCTCTGTGCGCCGGTGGTTATTTCCATTCTGATTTTTCCAACAGCCATAGAATTGTGTAGAGGTGGAGATTTTATTATCCTTTCTGGAATGAAATAATGCTGGGGCAGTAAATTTCAATATGGGCAACCATCAGTTTAGATGCCCGTAGTATGTTTACATATATACAGTTAGACTTTATCACAGTTTGGGCTCTGATTTCGGACAGTTGGTCAAAATTGACTGAGTCAAAATGATCTATGCAATACAATCTGGGAAAACCTTCATCTAAAGATAGAGCATAGACAGAGCTTCACTGCCCCCCTCCCCCAAAACCTGGACCAGGATATCATGACATCTAGTTAAAGTTATTTGAACAGAAAGCAGGTCAAGATACCAGGAGCAGGATCTTAAGAATGTTCTTCTAAGATGTTCTTCATGAGGTTGTAAAAATGTTTCTTAAGGTTGATCTGATTTCAGGGGAGAAAAACAGAAATGTGTTCATTGTTTGGTACATGAATCAGTACTCACCATAGTACTGCAGTTGGAGTTTGCTACTTTTTTATAGTACAGTACAATTGAAAAGAAAACAACAACATTTATTAACAGATGACTGCTTAACATTCTGCTACGAGTCATACCCCCCTACTGGTGATGCTGTTTGCCAGCGTTACAGCCAATTTCGACTTAACACTAATAACACATTTCCTTTGTCCTTTTCAACTACCTTTCTCACTTGCTATAATTGTTTACTTAAAGAAAAACATAGAAATCTCCACTAGTAGGCCTAAATGAAAAATTCTTCCTTTTGCCATGGGCACATGGCATAGACTAGAAGTAGATACAGTCAGGTACAGAATCCTTTACCAATGTCACATTTTATGACAAAACAATAAGCAAAGGATCTCTGTGAATTGATGCACACATTCACCTTGACCTTGACCTGTTATGTCAATGATGATTTTTTTTTCTCTGCCTTGTGTGATAGTGTAATACTGCTGTCTTCACAGATCTCTCAAGGCCAAGACAGAGCTGGACTTCAGAGCATATCAGAATCTAGGAGTCACAAGTTAAAATATCAGACATTATACTGTAGGTGTGTATTCAGGGGATTTGACTCCCATCAGTTTCAAACTACTTTGTTCAGAGGCATCACAGATGAATCATTTATTGTGAAATGCGTTTCAGATTAACAACCAGGTCACAGTGACAAATGGTAAATCCTATGATTTGCTCATCAAGTTCACATGCATTCAAGAGTTATAGCTTTCAGGTCACAGTGAACTTTGAATGAGTGACAAACTGTCATTACCCTCAAGACTCAAGATCATGTGAGTTACTCTTACCCAATCACCTTGTAAAGCTGCAGATTCTTTTTGACGCCTTTAAATATAATCAACAAGATTACAGTGTGTTTAATTGTAAAACAAATGTCATCAGGTTTCTGTAAAGGGAGAAAAACTGTATATTTGGTCAGGTTTGCATGGAACTGCAATTTTTAATGGAACCACAATAAATGTTTTCATGCCTTAAATACTTCTTACAAGTGTAATGCAATACAAGAGTCTTTACTAGGCACAGTTATGTGTTATATCAGTTATTGTTCCTGTATTGTGGCTGTCAAACATTCACAATTTGTTTTCTCTTGGTTTGAGTCAGCAAACTGTTTTTAAATACTGTATAAACTGCTTTGTGATCAAACGATGTGGGGACAAGGCATTCCACGGGGAACAATCCTGGGATGTTTGGTATTTAAAACCACAAGAAATGTATAATTTAAGAAAAAAGGACATTTTAACATGGCAAATAAAGAGTTTATTTATAAACAAATACAAAGCTGTAATACTCCATGGCTGGTTCAACCTCTAGTTACAAAAAGGAAAATACATTCGAAAGATAGAAGCTGCACTTCTAGTACTTCTTTTCCTCTTCACCGCCCCAAACCAAGCTTATTAATGATTATCTTTTAACCACAAGTACAACTGCAAAAACTGCTTTAAGCTACTGTGTGCTCCAAAAAAACATTAATATTCAAAAGCTGCACACTGCTGTTGTACGAATAACAACAAAATGATTCACATTACACCTTTGTGCTACTGGCCAGACATTAGCAGGATTCTGTGCAAACAATATTATAAGAAAGAGCAAAGGTTAATTTTGCAAGCTTCATAACACTTTATAAGGCTGTCAATATATCAAACAATTTATACAACTGGTACAGCAGGTGGTTTTAAATAATGTAACAGCTTAGAATGGTAAGCATTACACTTGCACATCACATCACATGCATACAAAACATAAAAAAAATATATGTGTTTCACACCGTCAAAAAGGTACAATGATAACAAATCCCACGAGTCTTGCCAAACTGACCAACCTAAGGTGTTTCCTAGTGCTTTGTAGTTTGTTTGTTTTTTGTCATTCTTTGCTATGACTGTATTACGACTTAGACTGTATTATACTTTGGTTGGCTTTTAAATTTCATAGAACAGGATTACATTTCCATGTCCTCCTCTCCAGGGCTGTCAGCTACAGGAAAGCTGTAGGGATGAGAGTGTGTGTCTGTGGATGGACTGGAGGAGCTCAAGAAACTGTGAGGAATAGGAGATGGACAAGGAGCAGGGGGGTGCCTCAATAATGTCTGTTGTTTACGCTGTTTTTGTAATGCATCTTTTAGCCTTGGACAAAAGTGGTCTTCAGGTGGACGCCATAGCACCAACTCCATACAGGAATGACTCCTATGTATGAGCAAATGAAAAATACATCATTAAGACGTACGGAATGGTTTAAAATTCGAGCTTGAACAAAATCCTGTTTCTCTACATGAGTTTCATATGATTTTACATTTAATTTCAAACATACATGGACTTGGCCACTTTTTGAGGGAGGATGTCACTGATGCTGCGCTGAAGACCCTCCTTCAGACTGTCTGAGATTACCAGCACTGGTCGTCTTGGTGCTGGCTCAATTTCCAGATCCTCCTCTTCATCATCATCCTCCAGCGTTATTCTACAGAAGGTACAGAAGATAGCGTTTGTGAAGAGTCATCTATAGTATTAGAAACATACACTCCTACAAACACAATCATGGTTTATGTACCTGTCTTTGATCTTCTGCAATTTTCTCTGAGCTGCCTCTATCTCCATACAGGAATTCTCTGCTTCAGATCTGTGCAGGATGGGAGCAGGATGTGGTAAAGTTAGAGGCTGAGGCCCAGGGCTGGACTGTGGAGGTTTAGTGCTGACATGTTTGGCAGACAGGGAATAGCAGCTGTTCGTTGAAGGCCACACCTGGTGAGTGCTGGGATTTGGGTCTTCTGAAATGTCCACCTCGGTGTCCACCATTAACCTCCTCTTTTTGGCACTGCATCCCCTGTGAAAACACATGCATTGTGAGTATTCATGGCACTGGACAAATGTTAAGTGAGACTAATTATTCTGTGCATCTCACACTTACTCATCATTGACTCTTCTTCTGTGTTTCCTGAGGCAACGAGTCTCCCAGCTGCTGTTGGCCAGACAGACAGACATGTCAAAACAGTTAATATGTTGCAGGCTAAGGCTGCCAATGTATTTCTGCAAATGTATGCGGTCTGTCTGAAGTACTATATAAAATTACTGGCTACTCACTTGTTCGTGACCGTTGGTCTCTGTAAGTGACCCGGTGTATTTGGAGGCCCAAAATCGAATTCTGGAAGGCTATTGGGGCCTGAAAATGAATACATGGCTGGCAAGAATTTCAGTTCATGGCCAGAAGGAACTGAATGATGCATCGTCATCTGGTCAGTGAAATAATTTGTGGGCATAAAAACAGAAAGACAGCTATATATCAATTTCATCTGAGAGCCAGGTGCTAATAAACAGGATTCTAGAAGGAATCAACTGTACAGTTTTTGTGTTCAGAAGACATTGTGGTAAATATTATTAATTTAGATTGACACTGCTATGTAAAATAACAGTTTTTATGACAAATGGCAAAATGTTAGCGTCGTTAAGCAAATGCGTTTTATTTTAAATCCTCTGTTGAACATATACATTACTTTGCGCAGTTTGAAAGAGTACCAATAAAAGGTAGTGTGCAATTCTGTTTAAGTGTATAGGCGGTAATGGAAAGGATTAAAATTGTGGCATCGAATCTATCGACCATCGTCTTTAAAGGACTAAGACCTGAGCTTATTGATTTAAATATGGTCCGGTTATATACGAACGTTATCGACAACACAAACCGAAACGTACACGTAATGTTTAAAGAAAGACTACTGAATGCTTTGTAGCCAAACACAAGCCCATGTACCGTAGGATGAAACAACATAATGAAACAACATACGAAAGCAGCGCCTCCCTCTTCGTTATGAATAACTTTCAATAACTTGTCCAGCTGGTGAAACTGACCGACTCGTGCAGCTGCCCTGCCCCTTACATGTTTTGTTGTCGTCTTGTAAGCTCTACTACCTGCAGCTAAAAAAACAATTTCTTATTAGTCTACAATAAAACTGTGTCTCGATACACATACCCAACGTGACAAAAAACATTGTCTTACCTGCAACCAAGACTTTTCTCAAAGATGAAGGTCTAATGCGTTTTGAGTGGCTGTACAGGCTAACTGCGATAATATTGCGTTAGCTAGCTATTCTATAAAGTGAGTAGAGCCAGAAGATACGCTAAGATTCTAGAAACAGTCACGTCGACCGTATTGGTGAATTGTGGGAAATGTAGTATGTAAGTATAATAACGGTTATTTACGCATTACTGACCAATTATGAAAATACAAAAGCAAGATTTTTGTTTCTATTTCACTCTGACATGGAGTACGGGGGGCTAACTTAGAAAAATGAATTAAGGAGTAATTCAATAGTAACAAACAAAATATATTCTTTCAATATTGTAAATAAAGCAACTTTATAACAGCGAAAGCAGGATGTTATAACTGGAAAATAGATTAAACAGAGACATCTGCTTGTATTGTTTGTTTTGTGGGTTTTCTAACCAAAGAATATAATCGACTAACAAGAAAACATCCCAACTTCCCAACTTCCTGTTTGTGAGCTCGTCGTTATTGTTTACGGCAGTATGGTCACAGTGGTTTGCGTCGCTGTTTCACGTCGCTGGAAAAAAACAGCAACAACACTGTTCCACATCGTCCTGCTCATCTTTAAAGGAAATAGGACTGCTGACTGGTAACAAAGCACCGTACGCATTTTTTCACTGGCTTGTCCACTCAAATGACAAGTCATGTGACCCTTATATACCAGAAGTAGCTATATGCGCTTGTTTTCTTGTCCATTTCTCATTCTTGACTCCGAAGTTTCCTTCAGGAGGTAGCACAGAGCTGTGTACAGCATTTCGTAAAGCAACTTAATAGTAAGTTTTTTGTGTGTTGACGATTCGTAGTGTCTTTTTAAAATCACTGTAAATGAGTTTTAAGCAAAAAAAGATTATACTATTTAGTTAGTGATATTTATGTTTTTAACGTGCCTGTGCTGTCATTTTTATGCAGTTGTATTGATATATTAACACCTGTGTTTTCCAACAGATAATCCAAAATGATATTTTGGGTCTTTATATCAGTTCTACTGGCCTTTGCCTCAAGCAAGTCATGTGGTATGTAACTTTTTAGTTATTGATAAAAACCTTCTTATCTCTAATGCCAAACTTAGGGAAACCTGGCAACATTTGTGATGCAGTTTTCTTGCCACAGTTTATAGTTGTTGATCTTCAGTGTATACCAAATGATAACATGAAAGTTCTCTGAATCATGATCGCTCCACAATGTTTGCTTTCACTTTTCCAGTGTGCCTGCTGAGGCAGCATTTGTGCTTTTGTGTGGCTTTACACTTTCAAAACTATTTTCTCTGACTATTTCACTTAGATGCTGAGGAACCAAACAATGAGCTCTGCCTTTCTCTCAATAAGAATCTCCTCCGTTCCCTGGAGACTCAAGATGGACACCCCAATCCCAGTGTTCACTTGGCATTAAGACTTTCCAATTTGCACAATCTTGCAAAAGAGGGCGCATACCTAAATAAACTAAAATCTCATCTTCACAATATCCTACAAGAGTAATTTGTTTAACTATACATCAATACTTTTAAGAGCTCTACATTAACATTTTTGTTATGGGATGTAAAATCTTTGTTTCACTTGTCTGTTCCAGTTCTTTCTCCAACAACCATCCTGGGGTTGGCCAGGTAGCACTGTACACTCTGGCACTAAGGTCCTCCTGCTATGATCTTAACACAGTTTTCGTCAACATCAGTGGAAAGACAATGACACTGTTGACACATCTGAAGAAGCAGATGGAACAGGAGAAAGAACATATTGTCGGTCAGTTTTCATTTGATATATAGAGTAAAGAAAATGCAGATAGAAACTTGTTGGTGCATTTCTGGAAGAAAAAAAAGTTTTTTTCATTTTTGACACAGTCAACAATCGACCTTTGACCAACTACTACAAGTACTCATTGGGAATAGTTGCTCTTTGCACTAATGGCATCAGGGTGAACAGCCATGTCTCCAACAAGCTGATCAAAGCAGTGGAAGACCAACACTTAACACATGGAGACACTTGCAGTGTTGGTGAGTTGTGTTAGCAATTATACACATCATAATGTATAAAACATATTAACAAACAGCTAGAATGGACATGAACACAGAGAGTGAGAGGAGACAGTGTCGTCATCAATAAACCGTTATAGTGAAGCGAAAGTTCACTCTAAACTAAAGTAAACTAAGCTGGGGTAAACTAAACTAAGTTTAAAAAGATGTCTTTTGGATGATGTCTTTTTATCCAAAGGTCTGACAGATAACCAACTTAAAATGGGATTTCCATCCAGTTTCCCATAAAATTCCAGTATCTAGTTCAATGGTCCCATACCCTGAGGCGAGGACCGGCAACGGTCCGTGGGTCAATTAGTACCGGGTCGCACAGAAATAATGCATAACTTACCTTATTTCAGTTTTATTTATTATCCGATTCTGAACGATGTACCAGATTCTGTCCACCACATCTGTCTATGACTCACACTTGATACATGTCAAGATGCTTAATGTTTATTATTATATTTAGAAAATTTCAGTTTTTATGCCAGTCGTATAATTTTATTTAGTTGTATTTCTCTGCCACATCTTAAAGGCTGGTCCGTAAAAAAAAAAAAAAAATTCAGACATTTAACCGGTTCGTGGCGCAAAAAAAGGTTGCGGATCACTGATCTAATTGACAGAATAAAATAAGCAGCTGTTGTCTCTCTGACTTTCTCTGACCAGATACATATGCCATGGCTGGGATGGCCCTCCAGTGTGTGAAGGACAGTAGGTTTGATGGACAAAACACTGCTGAACTGGACTCAGCTCTCAGAATGATCAAGCAGAAGCTTTTGGACTCACGTGGGACTGACAACCATATAGGCAACCAGTTTAGCACTGGTCTGGCAGTTCAAGTAAGAACCTTGTCATCTGCTGATTGTCGAGTACACGGCTTCTTCTTTTGTGTGAAATGTTGCACAACATTTTGTAACACAAAAGTAATTACGTATACTTCCAGGCTTTAATCGCAATGGGCAGCCCAAATGTTGAGTTTGCTGCATCGATTAAGGCCATGAGAACTTCTGCTAGAAACTACGCATACCAGAACCCCATGGCCTTATCCCAGGTTCTTCCTGCTCTTCATCAGAAATCCTACCTGAAAGTAAAAAACTTTGAGTGTGTCGATGAAGACGGTATGTTCGTTATTAAACCCAACTCATCTCATTTTTGTGTACAGCTGTTTTAACATGTGTCGTATATTGAATCACAGATAGTTTGGTTCTGGAGCCTCTGGATCCTGTGGAGATTTTACCAAGTGAGACCAAAGTGGCAGTAAATGTAGAAGTGGTAAGCAGAGGGGTGTCCTTGTTTTACTCTGTGGATGTTCCACACGGCAGTACTTTATTGCAGGCTCTTGAGCTACTCGTGGCGAAAAATGATGACTTCACGTGAGTTTATTTGACAAACATCTCTGCATTTCAGCACAGATTTGATAATCAGGGCTGTATGTGTTTGACATGATACTGGTTGACAGGTTTGACACAGAGAACACCATGTGGGGTCCATTCTTAAGTGCCATTAATGGAGAACAGGCCCGACAGAGTGACCGCGGATACTGGCAAGTGTCTTCAAATGATGTTCTACTGCCAAAGGGTGAGAACAAACTAACTAACCTCTTGACCTTATGACCAGCTATATAATTGCCCTATATGCTTTGTAACCTTCCTTGTTATTGGTTTCTCAGGTATTGCTGAGTTCAAGATTCAGGAGGCGCAAATGTTCACCCTCAAAAACATTGAAAGACATTGAAAATCTTTTTTTTCCCATGATCTTAAAAATTCCTAAAAGTAACCAAAGAGAAACCCAATAGCCATTCAGTGTCAGATTACATATGTTTAATTTTGTAGTCGTTCCATTTCAAAGAGCTGATGTTGGAAGTTCAAATTTAATTGTACTGTGTTTTAGAGTCAAAGTGTCAATAATAATAATAATAATAATAATGTACATTGTTATTTTTAATGATTTTACTTTGTGAAAAATGAACTTTTAAGTAAATAAAAAGATCGACATGTGTGGTTTATAGAGATATATATTGTAAGTAAGGTTTAAGGCAATCGAGACTCGGGCTATATAGGTTTTCCTTTTTTAAATACATTTTTTATAATATTAAGATAGAAAACACGGGTATAATTACAGTTGAGTTTACAACTGTACTAACTAAAGCAAATACATAAAATATCCGAGAATATTAAACATTTACAACTATATTTACGTGTTTAAGAACGTAAGGATTCTGTCTAATGATTGCTAATTAGCTGGCTACTGTTCTCTTTGTGTCACGTGGTATCTTTTGGCTTTTATTGCTATTACTTTGCCTTATATGTTTTGTACAGTACAGATGACTATTTACTTTTGGTACATCTGCCAAAAAGAAAAAGGAAAATATAGACAAAAGAATCGGCAGAGGAATAGAAAATATTAGCGCACTCGACTGGGGGGGGAAAAACCTTTCACTTTTACGCCAGGCATGTAAAGCAAGCGCGACCTCTAGCGGTCAGTGATATACTCCGCGCTGTATTTACCACGTGTATGTACAGTAAACAAGAATATTAATAATTAGCCTCTAGAGAATACCAATTGACACATATATCTCTGCGAAAAAAGCGGTGAGGTACTGTATATTCTAATTGTTAATCTTTACATTGTAAAATTCAAAATAAGTCTATATCATTATCTTATCTATTATCTTCAATAATAGATAAGACCACTTCCATAAGCGGTGGAAGTGGTCTCCAGGTGAGTACACATCTCGGATGACCTCACCTGGAGAACCAACGCTTCCTGCCTGATCAGGAAAGCGCACGAGCGCCTCTACTTCCTGAGGAGACTTAGGCGTGCTGGACTAGGGAGGTCAGTCCAAACCTCTTTCTACAGATGTGTGGTGGAGGGTGTCCTGTCCTCCTGCATCATCATGGGGCAGGGCAGCTGCTCGGCTGCGGAGAAGAAGGCTCTGCAGAGGGTGGTTAAGGCTGCACAGAGGACCTGGGACACACTTTCCCCACCACCACGGATATCTACACCACCAGATGCTGGAAACGGGCCTCCTGCATCATGAAGGACCCCACCCACCCCACAAATGCTCTGTTTGCCCGCCTCCCATCAGGAAGACGGCAGCGGACCACCAGACTGAGGAACAGCTTCTTCCCTGAAGCTGTGAGACTGTTAAACTCTGGTGGACCCCTGTAACTCCCTGCGTCCCTCCTGCACAATCGCCACTTACTCTTTCTCTTCTTGCTGCACTACACTGAACTCTTTGTCACTTGTACTCAAGCTGGGACCAGGGAAACTAATTTCATTCATCCCATGTTTAACATGTGTTGCAATGACAATAAAGAACCTTGAGTCCTATCTTATTATTATTATCTTAGTAAATGCTAGGTATCGCATACGGAGTAAAGTCTACTGGCGTTTGACTTATAAGTCATTAAAGCCACATTTTCTCTATTTCATCACAAATATTTCAGAAATTTACTTTTTCTGTCAACACACTGGTCTGGTCTGGATTTTGCAATGCTCTGTTTAACCTTGTCCTTGGCTTTCATGACGCTTGTTTGCTGACCAACGTTGTGCAAATGTTAAATTACAGAAAGTGAACGCTTTTGATAACCAGTGGAGTTTCCTGTTTCTAAACTTTTGTTCCACTTTTCCACTGTGCCGGCTGAAGTGTTTAATGTTTGTAAAGTTCGTCAATGATACTTTAACCTTACACCAGGCAAGAAAGCTTACAATTTTAAAACAGAGGAAGTCCCATATTCCAGACACTTCTAGGAACAAAGACAATTGGATTTAGAGACAACAATAGTGGATCATTTTCTTAGCACAATTTAATAGCATGAATGAACAAACCTCTACTTTATAAAAGGTAATCTATCACAGCGATGTGCATTTAGAAGTAAATTACCGAACACACCTCATGTTTTGGAAATGTTTTAGAAACACCTACCTTTGTTTTGCACATTCTCTCTCTCTCTCTCCCTCTTTCTTTCTCTCTTTCTCTCTGATGAGTAAACTCTACAGCCACACCCATTGGAGCTCCACCTGTCAGCGCAGCCTCAGTTGCATCACTTCTACTTTATTTAAGAACAGACAAACTCATTTGTGTTCAGATTTATATCTTGGTAGATGAAGCATTTATTCTTGGTCAAAGGAAATACATATCGAAACTGGTAGGTAGAGTTTTTTTAAATTATTTTATTTTACTGTAATTAGTATTTGTTCATGTATTTTTATTTTTCCAAAAATACACTTAAAAGTTCAGTTTATTTTATTTTAGCCAACACATAGTTATAAAAAATATATTAGTATGTCCCTCATTTGAGAAACATATTATTGTTTGACATTTTTAGAAAGAAACTGTGTTTCTTATGTATAACAAAAAACACTTGCAAAGGTAAAATTATTTTGTAAATACACTGCAAGTGCAGATGTTTTAAAATGTAATTTGGGATTGTTAGCTCCTATGATAAAATGATGTGACATTGTTTCACAACTGACGACTGCTTCGTTGTAATATAGTCCTGTAGCTGACTGCCAGGTTGTAGCTGTTTTATTAGCAAGAGTGCTGCTTTGTCTTAAGAATCAGCATTTTGATCCCTGTAGACACTGTTCTCTTGGCAGCAGAAGTGCTATAAATAATAATAAAGTAAATTTAAAACAGGTTCATAATGGGCTAAAGTCACCCTTCTCCCCGCCAATCCCCCACATCCCCCTAACTCATGGACCAGTCCCCTCAGTACTTGATATATTGTATCAAATTGTGTTGAATGAAACTGAGCCTACCACATGTACCTTGTCATTCTACATTCAATACTTGGCTGTGTAGCCAGACACACATTTCCCAATGTGTCCGTGAGTGTCTGAAAAAAAACCCCACAGCATTTTGATTGCGCAACAATTACCAGTTCCAGTCTCTTGTGTTGCAGACACGCAGCCATGCATGTGGACAGAAGTAGCTGGTCCTGGACCATTGTTGTCCTGCTCCTGGTGTCTCTGCAGGAAAACATCATGGTGGTGACCCAGAGTGAGCAGGTGGAAGAAGGTGAGTTGTTTGTACGATGTGTGGTATATATCCACCTGTGACTGTGTGTGCTACCAGAAAAGAAACTGGTTACTTTAACTCCCTGACATTGTCTCTTCTTTCGAGACATGTATTTAAATACGAGAAGGTATTAAAAAAAAAAAAGCTCCTGTTTCTGACTCATCTGATGTTTCTTATTACAGAAATTAAAGCCTAATCTGACAATGACATTGTAAACTGGAGAATAAAAATAAATGATAGCCTAGAATATTGACCTACATTCATTTAACCTTACGGCTGCTGTATTGTGATGGAGGTGATTAATTACCTGTGTCTGAATGTCACTTTATTCTAAAGGACACAGGTTCTGGAATACAAATTAAAAAACAATATTGATGCACGGCAGCAACACTAGCAGCTCACTAATTTTCCTTCTCCAATTTTGAATAAAAATGTTATTATTTGCTGGTATGCATGAATATTATTTTACTGATTTGAATCATTTTGATATTTTTTTATGTCACGATCCTCTTTGTACATAGTTTTCTTTGTTTTTTTCTCTCGTGTACTTGATGCTTCTGCCCATTATTTATCCCCACCTCCACACATGTGCCGACTCAGCTGTGGTTACAGCAGTATTCACACCCCAGCCCTTCAATGACTCGGTTCCAGATCATTTCCAGTCATCTTGTGTTAACTAGGTCGTGGCCTTTCCCAGCATTACTGGTTGCACCAGTTATCTTAGTTACTCCTTGTGCTCCTTGGATCTACTTCTTGATACTTCTTCCCTGTATCCATGTCTTAACCAAGGGTCTGTAACTTACCTCCTGGTCCTGTGTTACCTCATCAAGTGGGCCGGATTGTACACCCTAGCGTACTTGTTTTGGGCCGTATATTTGACAACCCTAAGCTAATGTGTGAGATAAGTAACTTTCCTTAATGTTACAAAGAGAAGCTTTAGTTAAGGGTTTTGCAGATGGAAGCACACAACAGAAAATGTGCCACAAATGTCAAATAGTTTTTGACATATTCCATGAACAGATCAGTAGACTCTGCTCAGTGCTTACTGCCTTTGTCTTGGTTTTACTCCATTTAGTCCGATTGGTGGGCGGAAGTCACAGGTGTGAGGGCAGGCTGGAGGTGCAATACAATGGCAGGTGGGGCACAGTGTGTGACGACAAATGGGACATGGTGGACGCGGATGTGGTGTGTCGACAGCTGGGCTGCGGATCTTCAGAGTGGTTAAACTCCAGGTTTGGTCCAGGCACAGGGCCGATCCTGCTGGACGATGTGGGATGTACAGGAAATGAAACAAGCATCAGTGAATGTCCGAATCTGGGCTGGAATGTCCACAACTGCAGCCATTATGAAGATGTGTCTCTCACCTGCAAAGGTATGGTTGTCCTTCTCACCCTCAGGTGGCTGGGGGTGTTGTGAAGTTTTTGGGCAAAATATAAAATTAACTTTTTAACTTTTTTTGTTGTCGGAAGAAGAAGATACGACTGAAGATAATGGGGCTTTGAACTCACCACATTATGAGAAGTTAGACTCAGGTGAGTGTTCCATTTCCACTAAGCATGATAGTTAGAGGTCAAAATGTGAACGGGTTTATCAAAGAACTCAATGACGTAAAGAAATAATTAAATTATATCAGGAAATGAAATTGTGGGTGAGGTCAACTTTAAACTATCAACAGTAGAAAATGTCTTTGGTGATAAGTTTCCCTCCTTACATTTCATTATATCAGATTCAGGGCTAGGTGTCGTTATCAGCACGGGATAGAAGAACAGACACTTGAGAGTTTCTATTGCATCCTATAAAGGAATGTATCTCACTGTGCTTTGGAATAAAATGACACAATTGTTACACAACAAAAAAAAATCATCAAATCTTTTTTCATTGTGCCACTGAAGTCAGTCAATACATGGCAATTCACACACTTCTGCATCATCTAACCTACATCTGGGAATCTCAATCAAAACTTTGAATTGAGTTCTTTAATCCAACCTGTCAAATACTGGCACACATCTGTCCAATTTATAATAACAACTTTACTTAGAAGTGTAAACAAAAAACAAAAGAAATGGAAGTGGAAAGAGTTCTTCTTTATAATTTCTCATTGATCCTAGAGGAAACACAACCTTATATGCCTACATACTGTACTGTCTGTCAGGATTGATGTTTGGAACACTGTTGGTGTTCCAAAAGTATGACACTAATGTGGAAAACTCTGCCTTGACCTGTTGAGCTTTCTTTTTCTCACTCTCTCTTGTCTGTAGGAGATGGAGGAGTACGTCTGGTAAATGGAAATAATCCATGTGAAGGTCGTTTAGAGGTCTTCTACCAGGGAAATTGGGGAACAGTGTGTGACGATGATTGGGATCTTCGTGATGCCAACGTGGTGTGCAGGCAGATTGGCTGTGGACATGGCGTGGCTCTGCACTATAGTTCAGTCTTTGACCACGGCACCGACCTGATTCTCCTGGACAATGTCAACTGTCATGGGTCGGAGTCCAACCTGACTGAATGCAGTAGCATGGGCTGGCTTAGACACAACTGTGGACATCACGAGGACGTCGGTCTCACCTGCAGTGGTACGCTGCTGTCTTCAACAACCTGAGATGTTTCAGTCTTTATTACATTTGCTGTCTTATGTCGTGGATTGTTATGGTTTCAGGGCTTTTGTATGTCATTTTTGGGATTTGTGATTATATATTCCATGAATTTTCTAATCATTCATGTTCTTTGTTTGTTGTGATTGCTTTTCGTCTCCTACATATATAAACTATGATTAACGCTAATGCTGCACCACAAGGTTTTTACAAATTAAAATAGTGAAACAGTGGAGAAATGTAATGCCTGTTTAGTTTCTTTCACTGATATTTTCCAGGCACATCAGGGAATAGGCTCATCGTATCTCTCATTGAGGACCTACTCCACTCTCTGGAGACACAGACAGGAGCCCCTAATCCCAGCATATACCTGGCTTTAAGGCTCTCTGCTCACCACAACCTGTCCATGGAAAGGGCCTATCTCGAGAGGCTGTTGAATGAGATGCCCGGTCAATTGCAAAAGTAATCAAGTGTTTTGTGAGGCAATTTTAATCAGTACATTCCAAAATCCTTCTCACACTAGTGACTGTTCTTTGTTGTTGCAGCTCCACCAGGCCCGTGACTGGCCTTTTGGCCCTGTTCATTCTGTCTCTAAGGGCCTCCTGCCATGATCTAGATATAGTTCTTCCCCACATCAATGGAGGGACAGCATCACTGCTGACACATATGGAGAGGCAGATGCATCTGGAAACAATGAAAATTCATGGTACAATATTTTGGTTTCTGGAATTCTTTAGATAAACAAACAACAAAATAAAAAGTCACATGAAAAATAGTTGCTGTAGTCCATCCTTAAGTGAGTGCAGTGGTTGACAATTTATGCTTGTGTCATTTTGATGTCTCCTGGACACAGACGACAATGTCCCCTTGTCCAACTTTTACCAGTATTCTCTGGGAGTGATTGCTCTTTGCACAGCTGACATCCAGGTCGACAGAGACTTTACTGAAGCACTCATCAATGCAGTGGAGCAACAGCAATTCACACATGGAGATTATGTGAGCATTGGTGAGTCAAACCAGAGCGAAAACCACATTTACCCCTTAACTAATGTTAAAATACATTGTACTACAATATGTGACATTTTGTGACGAAATTAAATATTTTGGAATATAATGCAGTAAGATCATCGGTTCTTTCAGTGTAGTGGTGAATGTTATCCCGTGTGTGTGTATTTTACAAAAACATGCAGGTTTAGGTTTGATGAAGAGTCTACAGCAGGGGTACCTAGTAAATAGATTGCAAGTGGATCGTAAAGGGAGTGCTGTATTAGTAGATAATGAGATTTAAAATAAATATTGATTTTAAATGAAATCTCTAGGACTTAATTAGCAACTAAACAAGTATTGAATCATATGGTGCGATACAGCTATAGCTATAGCTGTTGAATATTATCAATATAAAATATATTATCCCTTTAGCAAGGACATTTGTCCAATAAAGTGAGGACCTGGTCTAGAGTTTGACTGAAGTATGAACATGAGTGTAAATAGTTGTTTATCTCTATCTGAACTAGGGAATTGTTAGTACAGGGTGTAACCCACCCTCACCCTCACCTCTGCTGTGGCTGGCTCTGGCTGCACTGAATTAATAACAACTGTGACTATAAAAGATTGCTGGTAGGATGTTAATAATGATGAATAACCAACCTGGGGCTCCAAGTTGTAAAAAAAATAGTGACAGATCTTCTAAAGTCTCTACACAGTCATTATACAGTGACTTGTCCTTAAATTCCCCTCAGTCTGAAAGTCTGTTTTAATTCATGTTTATGTTATACTAGATACATATGCTTTGGCTGGTATTGCCCTCCAGTGTGTGGAGGACAGTTTATTTCCTGTATACAATGGTACCAAACTGGACACAGCCCTTAGCAAGATCAAGGGAACAATTTTGGACTCACAAAGACCTGACGGCCATTTGGGCAATGAGTTCAGCACTGGAAATGCAGTTCAGGTACGATTCTCTTTAAATCTCTGTCATTTAATCATATTAAGTTAAGCTTAAGTTCAACTTTAATGGCGTTTTTGTTGTGTTCAAGGCTTTAATAGCAATGGGCAGTTCTGCTGTGGAGTTTATCGGAGCAAATAGGGCCATATGGAGCGCAGTTAGAGGAAACGTCTACCACAACCCGATGGGCATATCTCAGATTCTGCCAGCTCTCCAGGGGACATCCTACCTGACAATCAAAACAATGACATGTCTCAACGAGGATGGTGTGTTCAGTATTTCATCCACTGCATACTGTTTTTTTATGTTTATTTTTGTTTGTTTGTTGCTAATGACATCTGCAATTTCCTATAGATTCTGTGGTGGTGGAGCCCTTAGAACCTGTTGTGGTTTTACCAAATGAGAATACAGTGGGTGTGGCAGTAGAAGTGGTGATGTCTAATGGAAGTGGGCATCACTATCTGGTTGATGTGCCGTTGAACAGCACTTTGCTTCACACGCTTGAACTCCTCCAGGAGGCAAATGTTGGCTTCACGTGAGTTTATTTTATATGCTTTTATCCATTCTGGCAGTTTAAATCACTGATTAGAAGTACTGTGGGAATTAGCGCCATATGGTACTTTTATTTTGAAGGTTTGGCACGACACCCTCCCTGTGGGGACCGTATCTCAGTGTTGTGAATGGAGTGGAAGCACTGTCAAGTGAACGCCAATACTGGCACCTCTCATCTAATGGTGTTTCATTGACAGAGGGTGAGGACACCATTTCACTGGATTATGCCTAACTTACAGACTATTATTTTTATCCTAACGTTGTTTTTTTTTTAAGGTATTGGTGATTACAAGATCGAGTATGGACAAACTATCACCATCGCAATGTCATCCTACTGATCAAAAAATGAAAAACAAAAAGAGGAAAATTTCAGAATCAGAAAATGTTCTTGTCAGAAATCAAAAGTGGATTCTTCTTGGGGTTTTGTTTTCTTTATATTATTTTGTCTATCATTTTATCTCTATCTGTCTTTGATTTGTGAATCAGTAAATAAATTTTGCAGCATCATAAATATCATGCGTCATCCCATTTTCTTTTTATGTGGTTCTTGACATTTTTTTGAAAAATGTATTTTACTGTTTCGTAACGAACAATACTATTTGGTAACCCCATGGGGTTTCTTTCCTCTTCACTGTGATCATCCATGGGACTGCTTAAGCCTGATGGCAAATGTTTCTATGTTTCAAATGTTTCAGACAGAGCTGAAGAGCAAGTTTAGCTCAGGTTTAAAGATGCATGATAACTTTAATGTTGTTTATAAAAATATGCCTGGCTTATGTACAGAATGAAACACTGTTAAAAGAAAGCGTTGAGTTTTGTAATTACTAACTAAATAATAATGTTCTCTCTCTCTCTCTCTCTCTCTCTCTCTCTTTCTCTTTCTCTTTCTCTCTATAACTCAGAAATACTCACATTGAGTGTTCCGCAAATTGTATGTAATTGAGAGCTGACTGGAGCACTATTACAGTTGCGTATTGCATACTATATTATTTAGGACTGTCGATAAGCGATTTTACATACTACTCCGTCTTACTGCGTGTTAACTCCATTTGTAAACAGTGTATGTTTATGGTCATTGGAGCGTTGTCTTCCGACTTTATTGTGAAATGTTACACAGGAAACAAAACAGTTCGGCGTCCAATCATCTCGATGCCGGAAGTGGAATTCATCTTAGCATGTGGGATTTTAGCACAGGTTTATCTATTTATTATTTGGAATTTTAATTAAATTATTTGAAACCTCAATTCATCGAAACGATTTTACAGTATGGTGTCATTCGTCAAAGTATGTATCATATGAGAAGCTAAACTTAAATAATAAATACTGACGTCTCTGTTACGGGTTTACCGAGACGTTAAACGAATTTACCAGTAACTAAAGAGACCATTTTGACAATGATTATAATATCTTGATACAAGTTGCTGTCGCGATGGCACCTCTGCTCAACCAAGTTTCGAATTTAACTAAACAAACTGGTTTAGCACAGGTAATGAGGTTATGCTGCAGTAAGCCTCTTCAGTGGAACAAACCTGACAGCTTTCTGTGGCCAAGAAACACAACCATAGTTCAAACAGGGAACACTAAGACAAGTAAAGGAAAGAAAACATATCAAAGTATCGAAGGTTCGAGGTACCTGTCGAGCAGAGCTTCACTTCTACATGGAAATGTACGAGTAAAAAGAGTTTCAATCGAAGGCAACGTTGGTAAGACTGTCAAACATGTTGGTACCTGACAGTATTGAATCCATTTTTAACTGCCAGGGAATGTTAATCATGGTTTTTAATGTAATCTTCATTAACAGCTGTTGGAAAGTCGACCTTGGCTGAAATTTTGCAGTCAGCGTGTTCAGACTGGGAGGTAATGGCTGAACCAGTCCAAAAGTGGCAGAACATAGAGAATGAAACAGCAAAGGTTTGTGTCCATCCTGGAATCTTTGTTGTTTTTTCCAGAGAACACCAGAGGGCCAGATTGACCTTACAGGGCCTTAAGCTATGTATCTCTCCTATTAAATTTAAAACAATGAGCACAAGTCCCCTTCAACAGTTTGGCCTTACAGTAAATACATTTCATTACAGAACAGCTTAGGGTTGTTTTTTTAAGTCTATGGCAAAAATATTTCTCCTGATAATAATTTGTTTTATATTATATTTCTCCTCTTCAAACCCAAGGGTGTGGACAGGGTCACAGACTGTTCACTGCCATAACATAACAAAGAAATGAGAGCCAATCATATGTATCATGCGGAAATTAGAAATTGTGGTAACAACTATTAAAAAGCACAATCAAAACAGTGGTTTAACTAACAAAAGGAAACAACTAATTTAGCAGTCAAACATTTGTCGGTTATAAGAATGAATAATACAGCCTTGGATGCTGATTAAAAATTGTCCTGTCTATTTGTTTGTGTTTGTGTGTTTGACATTAGGCTGAAGAATCGTCTCAGAACAGAGTCCACAACCTGCTGCAGATGATGTACCAGGATCCTCAGCGTTGGTCGTACACATTTCAGACCTTTTCATGTATGAGTCGTTTAAGAACTCAGCTGCAGCCTGCTCCTGCTCGCCTGCTCTGCTCAAAGGGAACACCTGTCCAGGTGTTTGAACGCTCAGTGTACAGTGACAGGTGAGTCAGGGTCGGATAAAAAATATCCAGTCAAATGTAAAGTAGAAGCTTAGGTGTGAATCTGTGATCTGAAAGATGGGTTTGAAAATGTCCTCTTTCATTAAGAAAAATATTTTCTAGACTATAAGAATAATGATTTATTAGCTGATGATGCAAGCATTATACCTGTAAATATGTTTATTTTTAAAACTTGGTATTTTCAGACAATTAAGACATTTATTATTTCTTTATTATTATTATTATTATTATTATTATTATTATTATTGTTATCTTATGAACCAAGTCAGCACAGAATTCTAATTTTACACTCCTTCCTGTCAGGTACATATTTGCCCTCAACATGTTCGAGCTTGGATGCATCAACTCCACAGAGTGGGCAGTCTACCAGGACTGGCACTCCTTTCTGGTGGAGCAGCTTGGACATCAGGTGGAGCTGGAGGGTATTATCTACCTCAGAGCCTCACCAGAGGTTGCTTTATTATTTTATTATATTGTGGTTGAAGTAATATATACACAAAGAATATGTCCATCAACACTGACAAAGTCTTCCCTAGACATGTATGGAGCGACTGCAGCATCGTGGTCGGTCAGAAGAGCAAGGAGTGAAGCTGGATTACCTGGAGACACTTCATCTTCAACATGAGCGGTGGCTTATTGAGAAGAGTACACCGTGAGTAGTCAGGCCACCCTTTTTTTTAACAGTGTGTGATGTTGGAGTCTGTAAAAGATTTCACTGTATGTTTGTATGAAATATGAAAAAGGTAATACTTTTCATGCACCTGATTTATTCTTTGACACTCATTATTTTAGAAGTCTTTCTTTGTGTCAGTCAAAATGTGCGTTTTTTTCTTTTTACTAAGATTAAACGTGTGACCCAGGTTTGATCTTTATTTTTTAACAGAATACATTTTGAGAAGTTACAAAAAATACCTGTGCTGTATCTCGACGCCACTGTGAAATTCCAGAGTGACCCTGAGGTGCAGGAGCAGCTTGTTACAAAGGTAATATGCTGTAAGCTTTTTTTTTTTTAAACTGGCGCTCTGATGGCCGCTCTGCCCCAGTTAGCCATGTGGGGTCGCTGTAATATCCTTGTACTTTTATTATTGCGTGATGAGATCTATACTGTATGATGCTATGTCTGATACATAGTGGTTGTAATGCTACTTTTATTCCCCAGGTGAAGAACTTTTTTGAGGCTTTGTAAGAAAAGAGTCATCAGCTGTGAACAACGAGAAGACAAGAAAAACATCAGTTAGTCGTGTATGTTGACTCAATTGGGAATGCCATAAAAGTTAATCAAAATCACAGATGTAGGAAGTTTTATCACACTTGAGTTGTTAGTACTGTTGTTAGTACTGTTTCTTAAAATGTGTTTTATTTGTTAAACTCGTTTCATCATCTGATACTAGGACTAGTTCTGATATAGAATCACATTTTGAATGCTTGGTATAGATTTAATTGAAATATATATTTATGTACTGCAACTGTGACATGACTACTGTTACAATTGGGAAACCAATTTCATTGTTGACTACAGAAGGTGGTGCATGGTACTGAATACAGACATTCCAGACTGGACTGATGTTGTATTTGACTTTTTCTAATCATTAGAAACTCAACAAACATAAAAAGATTCTGTGTTGTTCATTTTAATATTGAAGGCTTGTGAAAGTGTGTGATTTGTGCCACAGTTCTGTTAAACACAATGCTTTAGTAGGTGGTAATGGCTATACAGGATTTAGTGTCATTTTTCTAACATTTGAAAACCATTGGGCTCTGTGGTTCAGGCAGCGTGACAGGACAATGACCTTGGTTAAAGGTTTACTTCTCCCTGTCCCTGTGACATACTCTGATGATCAGAGGGGCCATTGAGATGCTTGGAGTGGTCAGGGGTCATCAAAGGGCAGCTGTCCACTATAAAAGGGCTTGTCTGGATCTCAGTCTGCACAGAGCAGCCTGAGACCAGCTGGAGGAAGGAACCCTCAAGGCTATCTGTACTTACAGTTTCTGTGAATTTTTCTGCTCAGTTTCATTTAAAACAATGGAAAACCGAGTGTTGACACTTTTCTGCACACTCATCAGCACTTTAGGACTTGTTCTGTCCACTCAGGGTCAAAGATTACACACAGGGCTTGAGAGAAATTCACCGCTCAGAAACCTCACATTCTACCACAGCAGCAGATATCCTCTGTACATGATGCAGCTGTACCGCTCATTCAGGAATGCTGACTCCTCTGTGTCAGTATCTGTCAATGATGTCACTATGCAGAGAAACAATCCGCCGTATAGAGCTAACTCTGTCCTGAGCCTTACGGCTAAAGGTGGGTGGAATTTTTTTTCTTAAACCTTACACGTAACATAAAAAAAATAACCTTTTCATTAATGATTTAGTGTATGTTGGTATCTCCTTTGTGAATCACACCCAGGCTGATGCACACTGTTGTCAGTGCCTGTTTTTTTTTTTTTTACAACCCACCCAGTTTTAGAATGCTTATTCCACTTTAAAAGCTTCTCTGTTTTATGTGACAGGGTGTGTATTTTAGCCCTCAGACATCCTTACACTGGGGGGGTTCAATACACATCCTGCTCTGTTCACCCTCCCACTGCAGTGTTTTGACATTTGTCCAGGAATCTGGTTTGGGCAGAGACGTCTCTGTTTGACTTCTGTTCTCATGTACGTGTCCTGGTTTCAGGTTGCCACCAAGTTGGTGAAAAATGGACCGTCACATTTGACTTTTCGTCCGTCTATGCTGGAGAATTTATGCAGTTGGCAGAACTGCGAATTGGACTTCCAGCTTTTTCGGCATCCAAGCGTGCCACCGTGGATTTGTATCACTCTCAAAAACAGAGCTGTGGGCTGGGAAGCACTTCCTGCCAAGAGGAGCCCCTTTTTCTGGGGAGCTTCAATACCTCTCTGAGCAGCACAAAGTCTTCCTGGAAGGTTTTCAATGTGACTGCACTGTTAAAACACTGGCTGTACCAGGGTGACCGAGTGTCCAACCAGGAGGCCTCAGGAGAATATGAGCCAGAGCACGGGAGTGGTGCTGGGGAAGAAAGGGAAGAGACTCAAATGAGTGTATTCAAGCATTTGGGGCTTCAACAAAAACAAAGAAAAATACACCATCAAGTAATCAACCGGGTCATGATGGTCATCTTCTCCAAACCCAACACGGCACAGGAAGGTCACTCAGCCTATAGCATCATTCACACTGTGGAGAAGTCAAAGTATGTGACCAGGGACAGGTCCAGCAGTGACAGTCAGAGTAGGAGACACAAAAGAAACCGAATGGAGTCACTGATAATGGTCGGCGGAGCTCCACCTACAGCCGAGCCCGTCCACAGACCTCTGTGTCCCTTAAATAACCACAAATAATCCCGTACCGGTTAATCTGACTGTTTTTTTCCCCATATTCTTCCAGAGCCTTTTGCATCATCATCATCCAGAAAGAGTGACTTGTCCGTCCTGTGTGCCAACCCGCCTGAGTCCACTCTCCATGCTGTACTATGAGAATGATGATCTGACCCTGCGTCATCATGAAGACATGATTGTGGAAGAGTGTGGCTGCCAATGAAGAATCAACCCTGTAATGTACTGTATAGTCAAAAATAATGACAGGAAGTGACTGAAAAGCTCAAAGTATATTTCATCCATAATGGGAGGTACACATAACATAATATGTATGGAGTGAGCTCCATTGTGAACTCTTTATGTCTATTTATACATATTGTATATGTTGTATATAAAATAACTAAAATATTTTATTAAATCATTTATTTTAACGTGTATTTCCTCTTTATTTCAATACTGCTGTTGAAAATACTGTATTGCACAATTTATTCAAATATAAAATACACACTATGCACAGTATAAATAATTTAAGAATAAATAGAAGAATAAAGAAACATTTGTCCTAATCTTTGATCCAGTTCAGTCTGTACAGGTTACACTACAAAGTTTGCTCCATCACTGAAGTCCATTGTTATTTTTCTCCTTATGTGTCCTGGTTTGTCTTGGTTTTTGTCCTGATACAATTGACGTGTGCTAATAATTGTGAAGGTTGTAATACCAAAAGGCTGCACCCGTTCAAATGAAATGTTAAACGTAATCACAGAAACACATCCTGCCTTTTGAGAATTAACTTGCACTTCCCCAGAAAACAATTAAATATATAGCATTTCACAAGTGATAATGTTAATATAGTATTTATATTAGCTTTATTTTGGTAAACTACACTCTACGCTACTACTCCTTATGTGTCCTGGTTTGTCTTGTTTTTTGTCCTGATACAAATGACGTGTGCTAATAATTGTGAAGGTTGAAATACCAAAAGGCTGCACCCGTTCAAATGAAATGTTAAACGTCATCACAGAAACACATCCTGCCTTTTGAGAATTAACTTGCACTTCCCCAGAAAACAATTAAATATACAGCATTTCACAAGTGATAATGTAGTATTTATATTAGCTTTATTTTGGTAAACTAAACTCTACGCTACTACTTTACATATAATAGAAATCCTATAAAATTGCCAAACCAAACCATTAAGGGTGATCATCTTGATGGTTTGGTTTGGCAATTTTATAGGATTTGGCAATTTATAAGTTTGGCAATTTTACCTCTTGTACATAAACCACAACATAATTTTGCAACTAACAACTTTCTTTAAAATCTTCTAATTTTCTTCCTTTGTTCCATCAATATTTATAAAATGATGGGAAACATGCATTGCTCCACCTCCCCCCGCCTTTGTGTGCTGATGTTGTTCTTTGTGTTATCCATATTCTTCTTCTTTTCTTTTCCAAAGGCAGTGGTAAACATCTCAGCAGCGGTATTTTCCACCATATTTTCTTTACCAGACTTCTGATGTGTTCAGTGTCTAATCCCTGCTAATCACTGTGTGGCACTCTAATGACTGTCAATTTGACACTGAGACTAGTGTCAAATATCAACTTGTGTTTCTCACATTTCACTTCTACCAGTGTTATTCTCTTCTCTGGAATGTCTTCTAATGAAGACATTGAATGTGCTTGAATAACATTCAGTGAACACCTTAATGTTAAATCCTCCATTTTATGTGAACAAAACTCTCAGATCTTTAACCTGCCTTATATGTTCATCTAAACCTAATCTTACTTGTTTTCCCTCTTTCTGCTCACCAATAAACAACAGTGTATTCACCTCCAATCCACATCTTTTGTGCAATTACAGTGGACACATCATCAGAGGTCATTAGCTCCTCTCCAGGACCAGGCTTCTTTGTTGATTGTGATCAAACAGGAACCTTGTGTTAAACAGCTCTCAAAGTATTCCACAGGATGCATTAGTGCAGGAGAGAAGAAGCAGTAGCACTTGTTTATTTTGGTGAGGTTGTCAGGAAGCAGAGGTGACAAGAAGACCCCAAACAAACACAGAGCAGAGAGAAGGAATGAAGTGAGTCAACGTCTGGATGTTGACGCCACAGTGGAGGAAGCACAGGCCAGTCTGAGAGTGATGAACTGAAACTGTTCAATCCACAGTGAAGTAGAACAAGTCCAGACTTCTTCTTGACAGTTCATTCCTATTTGTTTTTCCTTCATCTAAAATGACCTGATAGACACTGGTACCAAATCATTTTAAAACATCTAACTACATACTACAAGTGCACACGTTAGGGAGTCCAAACCATGAGTTTTCAGACATTGTAATATGTTTGACCTAATTTAACTGTTCACCCCAGAGTTGTGGTTGATAATGACCCTGTTTTGCAGAAAACCAGTTTGGACAACGACCGCAATCACACCCTAGAGCTTGACCTTAGTGTCATCTTCACTTCTGTCACTTCCTTTGTATGCCAACTGAACAAATGTGAACCTGTTGACCAGGAAGTAGGAGGGATTTCCCATTAATCATCTGTGTCATCACTGTCTATCTGTCTATCTGTATGTCTGTATGTCTGTCTGTCTGTCTATCTATCTATCTGTCTGTCTATCTATCTATCTGTCTGTCTATCTATCTATCTGTCTGTCTCTCTATCTGTCTGTCTGTCACTCTGTCCGTCCGTCCATCTATCTATCTATCTATCTATCTATCTATCTATCTATCTATCTATCTATCTATCTGTCTGTCTATCTATCATATCCTTATATGTATTCATTCTTTTTTGGCCATGTACCACCTTCTGCAGAATGTGGCACATCTTAAGTTCTGTTTGTTATGTTACACAGGTCAAGTTTGTCAATATCCTCTCATCCCATTTTGTGTCCTTCAGCCTCATAGCTTTAGTGAACTAATGATATACAGCTTTTAGTTTTACTAAAGTATTGCTACCCAAGTGTACCAAGTTTTAAAAAAAGGTTTAAAAATGTAAAATTATAAAAGCCAGAACTCCTTTTACACTTCCAGTTCAGTCTAAACTTAAAAAGGACAGAATAAATCAGGATGCCATGATAATGTTGAATGGAAAGGAGGGTTTCTACCATGTATGTCAGTGTATATTGACCTCTCCTTTTACACTCCACTGACTGAGGTTATCAGTACACTCCTGAAGGAATTCCTTATTCCTTACATGTGCCGAATCAGGAAACCACAGGACAAGCTACATGCTGTCAAATTAGCCATTTCTACCAACTATTTGCATTTAAAATGTACAGCAGTGTCTTTTAACAGCCATCACTTTCAAAGTATGTGCAGTTTGTTTTGCTTTTCAAAACTCATTAGAATTACCCAACATGGAAGGCTTTTCTTCTTGAAGTAGACAGTACGCCAGAGAAATGTGTATTCAATCCAGTGGAGCAGAAAAAGCTCTTACCACAATTCATAATATACAAAGCTAACTAATCACATCCAGATAACAGTCCTTTCAGTTTGCTTGCAGGTTTTTTTATTTTAATCTTTGTAGTTCAAAAAAAACTTTTTAGATTCTGTTGTGCATTCTCTGGATAAACACATTAGATGAACGCAATTTAACAATTCTTAGGAGCATGATCCCGATTGTACATGACATTATACAGTATACTCAAGTGTACTAAAGACAATCAAGGTAACCTCAGATGGTGCTGTTGGCAAATATATTGTTATAAAAGCACATGAGGTGACAAACTTCACTGGAATGTTAATGAATTCAAATAACTGGATATTTTCTTAGTAGCGAGGGATGAGGCTCGATGGTTTGAAGTAAATAAATCCCAGCTTTGATTTAACACTTGTAGTCATTATGGGAAGGCACACTTTTGTCTCATGTAAATGTGATTTTAGCACTGAGGCAGGCAGACATGGCTTCATTACAATTTTTTTCCGGAACAAACATTTAAACAGGACGACACAGACAGACAGAAAGATGTTTTAGACACTGACTGCCTTCAGTGTTGTTGATCTTTATGGAATGAGTAAAAGGAAAGAGACGAGGCGCTCTTTTAACCCTTCTTCGCAGCATCACGTTGGTAAGTGTGACATCTTCCCTCTTCTTCATCCAGGCCTGCTTAGATGTCCATTTCAAACTGTGCATCATCACCTTTAAACAGCGAAACAAAAACATGTTATAGGTGTATCCAAAATGGCAACGTTGGGAACTTTACTTCTACTTTAAACTTCTCTCCACCTTACGAAGGTGACTAATTAATTTGTAAAAAACATTTCTTTATAGATTAATTGTTTACTAATAAAATTGGTATTTGCTGTATATGGTCAGATTGGAGGAAAAAAGCAGTCTTTCAAATCAATTTGCATTAAATGTTTATTAATACCTATGGCCAGATAATGTTATAATAATTGCTGGTCTTTTTTCTTTTACTTAGAGCTGATATAGCAGTATGAGTCAGAGGTGTTGACGTACTAGTGTTGTTACTGTCAGGTGCAGTGACATCATTGTTGTTCAGTAGTTCTCCACTACAGGCTTTCATATTGGGTTCTTTAGGACTGGTCACTCCTGGAATGTTTGGTAGTCCACAGGGAGCAGTCTTGGCCAGTGGAGAGCTGCGACGGTCCAGCAGGAACTTACGGTCATAGATGATCCTGGTCCCTTCAGAGTAAAAAGGCAGGAAAATTAAGGTCCGGATTCTGAACACTGTTTTAAATAGATGCTCATTGAAGGTAGTGTTTGGAGACAGTCCCTTTTGGAAAGCATTGATATTGCATTACTATTACATTATTTAAAAATCACAAGTTATTTTCTGAACACAAAGTACAATTAATGCTGGTAGAAGTGGTCTGATGAAAGAATAAAGACCATCAGAGCTGGTAGAGCAGTTAGACTTGGTTTGTGGATCTAATACGGTGGCCAGATACTTTGCTACTGGTGTTAATAAAAGACTGTAATAAACCACAGCCTGCTTTCTGTTGAGTTAGATTAAATAACACTACCTTTAATTTGAGTATTATTTATGTTACTGTTGTGACCGGTGCTGTAAACAGATTATCACAGCTCAGGTTGTCAGTGATGTAGTGTTACTGAAGTTGCAGGATTAGCTAATGATCCACAAGAAACCTGACGACGCAACACACAGCAATAATACATTCACCACTGAAGCATTTATTGCTCAGGTACGTTGTACATAAACATGATGATTGGCGTTAGCACATAGCAGGTGCGGAGCCATGGCTGCTTTTACACGTTTGACAGCAGAGGCAGACCATAGTAGTGATGGGAAGACCAATCCTTTTTATTGATTCGGATCTTTGATTCTCGAGCAGTTAAATGAACGAGTCGTGAACGAATCTTGAACGAATAATTTCATTCGGTTTACAGCAGGTGGCGCTTTAGCCCTTTTGTGGGCGTTGTAAAGAAGGCTGCGGTTCTCTGACACTAAATACTGAAGGCAACATGGTTTGCTTCCACTGACAAAGTCTACAAAGTACACACAAAATACCATAAGCAATTAAACCATGTGAAAAGAAAAACACACCACAATGTGAAGATGAATGAGAGCAAAAGAGACCCAAGCTCTCTGTCACGTGACAAATGAAACCAATCTGCGAGAACGAAGAGAAAGTTTAGTTCACAGGGAGTGATTCGTTCATAGTGGAAGATTAGTTCACAGCGAAAGATTAGTTCACAGGGAGTGATTCGTTCATAGTG